TTAAAACTATTTCCCTGGATAAATAATCAACGACTTTTTCCTATGCTTAAATCAAAATCCGTAACGGATCATGTATTATAATATATATATATATATATATATATATATATATATATATATATATATATATATATATATATATATATATATATATATATATATATATATATATATATATATACTGTAAAAGTGGTTATTTACTCGTGGGGGAAATTTACACTACTTACGCGGTAAGCTTAGAACCGCGTAAAATACCCCCGCGCGTATGGTCACAAAATTTCAAACTTCTGGAATCATTTTAGACTATTACTTATACTGTTAGACAGGTCGAACCAGTCGTATATTAATCATGGAATTGAACGCACATGAGTAGATAAATACATCACGAACAGTGATGAAAACGTAACTGTTCTTTTTTTAATTGTGCAATGAAAAAAGCATCTTCATGTTAAATATTTTAAAGCAACGTCACTCAACTAAAGCTTGAAAACAATGGTACTCATTTTCATTTCCTTTCTATGTACGCGTATGTCCCTCTTTATTTCAAATAATTAGTTCAAAATGTTACACAAACTCTCAGTCACTACAAACATACCTGTTGAATTAATTGTCAACGCTCGCCACGCAGATACAGGTAAGTAGATCCCACTTTGAAGTTTGAGCTTGCGTAAATAATTACAATAATTAAAGCGTACACCAGTTGTTCACACTTCACCGCTGTTATCTGTGCAGATCGCCGTTATATTTAGCAATTCACCAGTATAAATTCTTTTTGTTTTGTTTGTTTGTAGTTATTTTTTTTCTTATTCATTCGAGTACTTACGTGACCTTTTCAAAGGGGAACAACTCGATGTTAGTAACGATGGCCGCGTAAATTTTTCTAGGTAAATGGTGCGACCGCGTATATTACACCCACGCGTAATGTTTGATGTCACAAACGCGTACTTAACAACCAGTGTAAATAACCACTTTTACAGTATATATATATATATATATATATATATATATATATATATATATATATATATATATATATATATATATATATATATATATATATATATATATATATATAAGCCCGTTCTTTTTTCCTACTGTAAACTCGTTCCCTTCTTATCGATGTTAAGCATATTTTGTTTTGACACCATTTGACAAACGATGATTTGTTGTTCTAAATTTTGTAAATGTCAAATGATGTGCAAGTTGTTTTTTTTTTTTTTTTTTTTTTTTTTTTTTTTTTTTTGTTTCCCCAATTTAAACTTCCTTTTAGGGTAAACAAGGCGGGCGAAGTGCCTATAGTGGGACAAACATGAAGTGAAAAATAAAATCTCAATTATATAAAAAAATTTCTTTGATATTTAATCTAACATTAAAATATACTTTATGTATCTACAATTTACAAAAATCTCACAAAGACTGAAATTATTTGCCAACGAAATAGCATACACACACTAAAGAGGAAAAAAAGGATCATTTTCTCATACTTCAACAAAATTTTTCGATATGAGTGGGTCTTCGCTCCATTTTTTTTAAGTTAATCCTAAAAGTTTGCATAAAAATATACATTTTTGGTTTACAAAAACATGGAGCAAAGACCCACTATACTTTAAAAGTACACTTTTATGACAATGCATTCGCATCTTTCCGAGAAATACTTGGTCCAATAAGTCAAGGGTCATATCACAAACATGATTTAAATGTCACTATTCATCAGGAGCTGTGTAGTGTAGTGGTTAGCATGTTAGTCTCATAGCAATATGATACTCCGGATTTTTTATTGTTAGGGGGTTCAAATCTCACAAATACCATTTTTTTTTAATATAAGAATATTTACATTTGCAAATGTTTTCTTTTATATAACACTATTAAAAGCAATGCGTATCTATATCCGTATAAACACGGGTTCCTCGCGTCATAAACGTTCGACGTAATTTCTCAGTGACGTCATAAAGGGTCGACGCGCAATCAATGGATCAAATACGTGCCGTTGAGTTTGAAAAATAAAACATTTCACGCGTTAAAGATTATAATCAGGAAAACATAAAATATGAATAAGTCATAAATGTAAATATAAGTAATAATGTATCATTTTTAAACATCTATCGGGATATAAATACGGGTTGGTACGAGATCAAATTCATCATAAAGCCCTTCGGGCTTTATGGAATTTGATCTCGTGACCAACCCGTATTTATATCCCGATAGATGTTTAAAAATGATACATTATTTCTTAAATATTTTTTTCCGAGATCTTTTTTCCTCAGAAAAGTTTTGTTGATCATAATTTCATAAATTTCGATAATGAGAACTTTACTTTAAATACGCAATTCACAAACTGAATATGATTTTTTATATCTGAAGCTATAGGCATTCTGCACGCCTTGTTCACCCATCTTCTTTAAATCATAAAAACTAGTTACCATGTTGTAAATTTTGCATTTATTTCTAACTCCCTTCCTATCTACGTCAAGCTTATTTTGTTTTGATTTCATTTGACAAACGATGACTTGTTCTACATTTTAAATTTTAAATGTTGGAAAATGTAAAAGGGGAATTTTCTAACAATACAATTAAGGAAGCTTTATAGAATATATAGGAATCTACAGTTAAGGTTAAGTATTCTTAACATTCATTATATTAGACAAGATAAAGTATATGAATATTTGCATACATGTTTTTCCCTGATGAAAATAGACAACAGTAATTTCTTCATGTACTTCATTGTCTTTGAACAGTTTTCTGCATGGGAAAGCTATGTTGAAAATGAACTAATGTTATTTTGTAGATAAACTTCATATGTATACCTTTATAATATAATTTTCTCAAAGTTCAAAGTAGACCATGCACATTTTTAATTAGTGCTGAGAGCTTCCTCAAGAGGACATTTTCTTATTATTGGATCGCATTTGAAGTGTCTTGTCTAAGATTTTTTTGAATCAAGATTTTAGAGGTTCTAAGCGTAAAAATGTCGGTCTGCTCTCACATAAAATTTAACAAGAATGAAAATACTTCACTAGTAAGTGTTTAGATGACTGAAAGTAAGATCATACGATTTTTTAAAAACTTCATATTTTCTTAAATTATTATTTTGGCTCTCTTAACAACTGCAACAGACTATATATAGGCATTCATGCTTGCTGTTCTATCCAATTCATGTTAAATGAATAAAATATTTAAAGCTATTCCAACAGATTGAAAAAATAACCTTAACATAGAAAATAATTCGATTGTTGCATAAATCGATACAATCAAACGTAATTTTAGTGAATTCTGAAAACAAATACTCCTCCCCTTTTTACAATTTTACTAGCAGATATTGGCGAGTTTATTCTTGTCGCAAAATTATTCCGGTGAGTCAGCTGGAGGCATAGGCGTCAGAACGAAGGGGGGGGGGGGGCTTACCCCCCACCCCCTTTCACATTTTGGCAAAGATATATAGGCATTGAAAATTGAGGTTTAGTCCCCCCACTTTTTTTTTTGTTTAGCTCCCCACCTTTTCAATTTGCTTCCGACGCCTAATGGAGGTAAGGAGAAAACAAAACACCTTCAATAAACTAACAAGTGTTTGCTTTAACACAAATAACATCTTCGTTATCCAAGAGTTTCTGATCCGCCCAACTCCTCACAAGAGAATGACTGAAGTGGATCAGAAACTTGGATAGTGAAGATGCACAAAGGAAAACTGGTTGGATCTGATCTTTTCATACAGATCTGGAGACTCAAATTCATGCAGTTCTTAAGTTGTATACCAACAACATGAAAAAAAGAACGTCCACTTTTTTTTATATATCTTGTTATGAATAGAACATTTTCGACAGTCTTCTGTCAACTCTTGATGAAAAAAATGGATGAAAGATGTTATCAAATATTAATTCCAAACATAGAAATTCGTTCCTGGATACAATATAATATGAGTCAATGCAACGTAAATCACTTTGACGTTTATTTCACAATAAATATGATTATTTGGCCCTTAAAATTCACAGAATTCTGAAATCGTTATGATAGCTGTTGTATTAAAGGAACGTATAGATCACAAGAAAAAGGAAAACTTGATTTCTATAGCCTTTAATGGAATTTTAATGTTCTGCATTTGTGGACAGAAAATACAATTTTTTCTTACAAAACTATATATTTTCAACAAAGAATTATATAATTTAAACAAGACTAGTATAAAAGGTCATATGGTTTCATGGCAATAAAATTTTGTAACGTAATTCACTGTAGTTTTGTGACAATGAGATGTTACAAATTTTCTTTTCATTAGCACTATTCTGGTAACTGCTTTTTGTCCTCCGCTTTCACTGAAAATGGGGGATATTCATTTGGGTCAGTCTGTCTGTAGGTCTGTCTAGCTGTATTTCTGTCTATTGCAATACTTTCGTTTCCGGACAATATCTCATGAAGCCTTTGAGCTTTTGCAATGAAATTTTATATCACAACTCCCTTTGGCCTAAAGAAGAACCCTTGATTTTGAGATCAAAAGATCAAAGGTCAAGATAATAAATTTATTCATTCTGTTTGTAACACTTTCGTTTCCGGGTAATATCCTTAAAATGTCCGTGAGCTTTTGAAATGAAATATTATATCACAATTCCTAATAGCCTTTTGATTTTCAGGTCAACAAGATCACAAATCATACATTATAAAACATTTTCCAGATGATAAATTTAGTTTTCTTTGAGCTTTGAACTAGATTTTTATAAATTCTAAGATATATAAGCTGTCAAGAGAAAGCTTACGATCAAAATCCTTGTTGTAAGCTAGATTTGTCATTCTCCTGTTATAGTGTGCATGATAAGGCCACAGTGACCTTTATTCCAAACTGAATTCACCATCAAGAGCTGATTATTGCAGAGAGTGTGCTAGATATTAATTTATGTCTGACAAAAACCAAAATTCCAAAAGTAGGTCATCATGACCTGATTTTGGGATATCACCATAATTTCACCAACTAACTAACAAAGTCTAATGATGCCTACCCTCAAAACAAGCAAAAGTTTGTTTTGCAACATGATTTTTATTAAAATGTTCAAAATGATATTTACAATGATAAAGGTAAATATAAATGCTATTTCTCATTAAATCTAGGTAAGACAGGTAAAATTAAGTTGCCAAATGAAGAGTCCTGTGTGATGAAGTACCCCACTGAGTTAGCATTGGCGTGCTGCAAAAAGAAAGAAAAAGTCATTTTAACTCAAGGTTGCTTGACTGATGTTATGTCAGTTTTTCTGTTTGTTCACAAAATTCAGCATCACAAAAATGTTACATTGGTGGCATGACCACAACTAATTAACTCCAAAAACTAATTGATCAGACAAACCAAGCATGACAATCCATTTTTCACTCAACATCAATTTTTGTTGTTGAGCAAGACCAGAAAATTAGTTGATCAACAAACTACAAATTTTACTAAAAACATACAAAATTGTATTTTTTTGTAAAAACCATGAAATTTGTTCCCAACAAAAATAAATGACACCACAATATGCATATGATAATGTAATAGTCAATAATTTTTACACCTGTTAGAAAAGATCCTGGATACTTGAATTCCTGAGTGTATTAGCCTAACCTGAGCAGATCTGAGAAGCTTTGTCATGCTGTGTGTAAGGCCTGACATTAATGATCACACCTGAGCCATGCTCTCACCTGTAAAGCCGTCCTTTGGGCAGGTGTCATATGCTGGGTTTCCATTACCAAACTGATCTGTAAGACAATTAACACCATTCTTATTTACACCCACCTGTCATCCTGTACAAATCTAAGTCTCGTGTCCGACAATCAAATTCTGATAACAGTCATAACCCAGATCAATTTGTTGCAAATATGATTTAACTAAACAGTTTCTGATCAACAAATTGCAATATTTTGCTTTTATAGCATTTAATATGAACTCTTACTAGATAGATAGAAATAAGCAATACATGTATTCTGCATGTCTGTTGATACATACATATAGGAAATACTGTACATGTATTGCCTTACAAGTTCTTATATAATGCTGATAGATTTTAACAAACTGATGTAAACAATTTAGGTAACAAATGGAATACATTACATTTCCTGGCAGAGACACTGGGGGCGGGACTGCAGGGGAACTGACAATAAAAACAATCAACAGAATAAAAACAAGTTCAAACAATGCTGTTTATCTTATTAACAAGGAGCACATCAATCAATGTGTCTCTTTTATCTGTATTAAATATCTGTTAACATGATAAATAGCTTTGTCAAAGAAGTGGCAAACTCCCTCTGATTCTATAAATAGTTATTTTAGCAGATCTGAGATACAGTTAAATATATCATGTTACCATTAAAGTCAGTAATCAGGTTTTAGGATTATATCTTGTTAAATGAAACACATTTGCATGATTTAGTGACACCCGTGATAGAAAAACACATGGTAATGGCAGGGTCATTGATACTGATAATGAAATTGATAGGCTTGAATAACACTCCATATGAAAACGAAATATCTTGAGCCTATATTCAAAGGGATTTAGACTGAGAAAAAATATTCATTCTTTGTTTAAATTTCTAATCATATTTTCGGTACTTTCTAACAGTAATAAAATCCTGAGAGGTGGTCAACAGTTCAATTGGAGCATTGATATGATAAAGTAGTGCTAAATCCTTATTAATACTAAAAGTTTTTTAAAATACCAATATAATTTTATCAACGAAGAAAACTTGAAGTATGAATCATTTGAACGAATATTCGAATGCTAAATTTCCATTTGAATATTCGCCATTTACTATTCATTCGTGAATGTTCAAACATTCATTTCAGCTCTAGTCACAGTTATGTGAGAGGTTCATAGGTCACAATGCTCACCTTAGTCACCTTTCTCTTCCATTCATAAATATATGTACCGTAGATGAATAAACTCCTCAATAAGCCATTAGCTGGTATAATTACAGTTTATTTAGAAGCTTAATTTCAAGTTTACAAATTGCAGGTTTCACTTAACGAGGTTGGATCCTGATATTTAAAGTCTTAAACTTTTTTTGTCAAGTATATTTTTAGTTTCTACACACATAGCTTAATTAAAATCAAAACAAAAAATGGGGGTCAATACACTTCTTTTAGTTTCAAATTGCTTCGCATGATCAATTATTTGACCTTTCTGCACTCAAAAAATGTGATTTTTCTGGCATTAAAAATTTAACAAGCAAGAAAATTATTTTAAAGTCTTAAACTTTTTCTGAATTTAGGCAGATTGATCAAAGTTATCTTATATATTCAGAAAATAGAAACAAAAGTGGGGGTCTATGATGTAAATTTTTAGATATTACTAAAAAAGTATTAATTTTACGTTAAAATTGGCTAAATTTTTTCCTGGAGTTTCAGAATATATTTACTGTATTTGTCACAATATAATGAAAGAATTCATAAGAAATAATTTAATAGACTGATATTTCAGAACCAGCATAAAACATTTCACTGCAAAAAACAGCTCTGTGTGCAACCAGCGTGGAAAAATAGGAATTTAAACTTAACAGTACTGTATATATTTCAAAAGGGGACAAAATGATCATTTTCTCCTAAAAAACCTTCCGCCACAAAATATAGTTCCTGGCTTAATCCTCTTTAAATGGACTTTAATCGCCATTTTTTCATTGGATATACATGTAGTTTAATTTGCATTGTAGAATTCAGATTTAATGTTTGAATTTAAAAATGATGCAGAATTTTATAAATAAAGGTCCAGACCAAAATCTGCTCAAAAGCTCAGGATCAAACCTCCTTAAGTAATACAGTAAAACTTGTCTAATTCGGACACCACTGATTCCATAAAAACTGGCCGGATTAGACAGTATTCTGGATAAAACAACATTTTAAACAATTGAATTTACTGAAAGGGACTTAAAATTTACATTGTAATAGGCAAGATTTCAGAATACACAACATTCACAATCAGATTAAATAAGTTCCACTGTATATACAAATTCTGCTGGTGAAAAGATATCTTGAGTTTTTGTGTCACAAGCATGTGTGATAAATATCAATAATATATGGAATGTTGACCCAGTGAACCCAAACTAATCTAAAACAAGATGTGTCTGTGAAACACTGATGGCATATATGGCACTCATGCTGATGTTAAAATTTCTCAAATGCAAGTCAAACTTCAAGGTCAAGGTTGAGAGATAAAAAATGTTGGTACCAAAGGGAAGGCCTTGTCACAAGGAATATACCTGTGAAATATGAAAGCCCTAGTACAAATCATTCAAAATTTATGGCTAAGGTTAAAGTTTTTCAAAAAAAAGATCAAACTTCAAGGTCAAGATCAATGGGTCACATTTGATAGTGAACAAAGGAAGATCTTGTCACAAGGAATGCACATGTTAAGTATGACAGCTCTAGCACCAACCTTTAAATAGTTATGGCTAAGGTTAAGGTTTTTCAAAAGTAGGTCAAACTGCAAGGTCAAGGATAAAAGGTCAGAATTGTTGGTGCCCAAGGGAAGGTCTTGTCACAAGGACTAACATGTGAAGTATAAAAGCCCTAGCACCAACCATTCAAAAGTTATGGGCAAGGTTAAAGTTTTTGCAGTCAGGTATAGTGTTGCTGCTTATTTATGAAAGGATCAATATATACCCATGGATGCTATTTTTTATAGAGCCCTTGCATTGTCCTATCATAAACTTTATAACCCCTGCATTTAAACAAAATCAAATCTACAAAATTATCTGTCACTACAAACAACATCTTATTATAAGAATACAGAGTGCTCATTTATTTGGCTGTATTTCTATACACTTCTGATTCAAAATACCCCAAACTGAGGGGCTACAAATAGGGTCATAACTTTTACACTTTTGAAGTGATGTTAACAACAATGAATGCTCTTGGAAGCATAAAAATTGTTCTTTCAATACGTATTGTCATGTTTCATTCCGATTTCAACAACAATACTACAAAACATTGATGAGAATTACCATGCAATGTTTCCTACACTGACATTTCTTCTAAAATGATAACAGGTTCATGAAATAAATAGTTTATTGATTTATAATGCATGATATTTACCCTTTTATTTTTTAAAGACATAAACAGATCACCAACACTTTGTGAGAATGCAGACTGCTGCATTCTCATGAAGAGTTGGTGATCTGTTTTTTTGTCTTTAAGTTTTACAACTTTAGGTACAGACCCTATCGAATACTGTTCGGTATCCACATGGGAAAATTCAGCATTTTCAACCATAAGGTGTTGGTTTCCAGTTTTTGTTTGTTTTGTCTTTTATTTTTTTATATATTAGGTACTATACTGCTAGCATCTGTTGAGTTGTCACATGTGAGAATGCAAGAAGTACAACATGCACAGTGATAAGGTAAATTACGTAAGTCATGAAATACAGAGTGATTCAGAAAAAACTAAATGATTGTACATTTGTATAGTGCTATAAATTCCATATACATAGTAATGTACATTAAATTATTGTTCAAATTCTAAAAGAAAGATTTGAACAAGTTGAAAATGTATACAGGTACAGCCTTTTAAGATGAAACGGGAGAAGATACCAAAAAAAGATCAATTTCAAAAAAAAAAACTACAAACAATACAAATCTGTGAAAGGGGCTTAAAACATGGACTCCTGGAAATTCCAGAGGTGGGAACAGGTGCCTAGGAGGAGTAAGCATCCCCTGTCGACCGGTCACCTTATGAGCCCCATGTATTGATCAGGTAGATGAAATAATCCATAGTCAAATTTAGAATAAAAACAAAGGCCTAACAAATGGTGTGAAATATGTCAATCAAAATATCAACCAATGATCATGAAGATAGGTTGCATTTGCTAATAAGGTCATCATAGACCTTAGAATTTACAAATCTACGAGATCTGACATACCCTTACCTGTTTGGAATAGGGTTACTAACTGATCCACCATGTCCCCCTCGAAGACGTCTTTTCTGTTCTTCCAATTGTTCCAATATCCTTCTGTTTCTATTTTCTGTTCAAAGAATGCATATAATTTTGCTTTAAATGTGTAGTTTTTGTTTGAAATATTTTGAGTAAAATAAACAAAGTCTGGTTCTCCATTAGTGTCTGTTTAAAGAATTTTTTTGTTAGCAAACCTTTCCCGAAGATGCTGAATTTCTCTATTTACATAATAAAGTCTTAAGTACAGTAAACCCTAATTATTGGCAGCAGGAGCGGCTGATCTGTTTGTGGTTGTGTTAGAATGTGCACATGGGGAAGGTGTTATTTTTTCATTGGCTATCTTTAGAAAAAGTAAATTTTGTTTTGAATACACTACAATGATATTTTTTTCTGCACTTCACATTTATTGTGATACATGTCAAAAGCATCGGCATTATCATGTGACAGAGGATCCAGGATATTAGCACATGAAAACTTAGCTGCAGATCTGTAGCTCGCTGGTCTAAAAAAAAATGGGATGGATGATCTGAGAGCTACAGTGCCACCCATTGAAAAAAAAAGTGAATATTTATTGCACACAAAAAAGTGTGCTGTTTCCTGGTTTATTTCTCCACATACATGTATATGAATTGCCATCTCATAAAATATTACTAACTGTGTGTTCCTAACATATTCTTTTACTACTTCTGCAACAAAACATTACAAAAAAACATTGTGGATAACCCTCCTGGGCGTGGATTTGAGACCATGGAAAATTTTGCCAATTATATTGCCATTTTGTTAGGAAAGACAATTCGGCCCAACTCACTTTGTGCATGACTTGTACTTGCAGTTTTGTTGTGAAAGTAGCTAAAGAAAATGTTAGGAACACACGGTTAGTAATATTTTGAAACATACAGAGAAATAAATCGAGAAATGGTGCACTTTTTTCTGCGCAATAAATATACACTTTTTCAACGGGTGGCAATGTAGCTCTCTGGTCATCCATCCCAATTTTTTTCGACCAGCGAGCTACAGATCTGCAGCTAATGAAAAGTTTGTACTTTTTGTCAGAAATCATTGAGACATTCATAATTATTAAGTTTGTAGATATATGTTATACTTGTTTTTATCTTTTAACAAATAATTTGATAATGATATAGTCCTATCCTTATCCGATTTAAAATAAATATCCATGACTTAATTTAATTTTGATTAAAAGTCAATTCACTGATAATTAAATATTTAAAAATGGACAGAAAAGTAAAAGATGTGTACAGTTCTGCAAGAAAAAATATCATACAAGGCTTTTTCTGCTTTGAAATTTATATCCTCTAGACTCTTCCCTATGGAAAATTTTCACTATAAAATGCTAAATATTTTTGCGGCCGATTTGATGCTTTGCATCAATTTCACCGGTTTAATACCTTGTCCTGCACCTCCTGGGGTTTGGAAAGCCATCACTGACACCGTCCCCTATATCAATAACGATAATAGTGAATTATTTGTATCCGGGAATTTCATTGGTAGATCTGTCTATCGTATCCAATGAAAATTCGTATTGCAAAAGCGCACTAACTTTTTTCATTGTCATAAGGGTGCCTGTTTATATTATGGCAATGGCAGATACGAATGCTGAAATTCACTCACCTGACACTTCAGACGACCAGTTAAAGTTCAGAGACCCTCTCATAAGTGGACTGGATGCCAGTGATGGCGAAGTTTGTATTTAAAAGAAATTAAAATGAAAAAATTACATAGAATTAAGAACAACAACCAAAATGTAGTAGGGGGTGTGTTGCATGTTAGTCTGTTATTTAGAAATTGCAGAAGTACCACACATGACAAAGAAAAAGGCTTGTCTTGGAAATGCTGGCTATTCATTTTTGATGAATTATTGCTGTATACATTCTATGGTTTTGCTTCGACGTTCACTAGCATCATTTTCAAGTCTTGATATTGTATAATTCGGCATCAAAATTTGCTCCATAATTAAATGGAATTTCATTTTTCCACAATGTTAGTGTACTTTTTTCTACATTCATTACAGATGGAAAGCTTGAGTCTTGATGCATCAGCACGGTCAGAACCAAGTGTCTCTAGAAGTTCAAGTCTGATGGCAAATCTTAGTCGCTATGATGATTGTTTGGATGATGAAACAAGAGATTTATTTGTTGTTGTGGATGACCCAGAAAAACACACAAGCACTCTGGAGGCATATGTAACATTTAGAATAACTTCAAAAGTATGTAATGCATTTTTAATCCACTCATTAAAACTGATTATTACTACACGCAATTCACAAAAGAAATTGAGATATGAAGCATCAAGTTGTCAGCTTGATAGATAAGCTATGAGACATTTATTTTAAGATTTAGTGTATGTATATTAATTCCTCTCAGAAGGCAAATTTAACCAAGGTAGAGTAAAAACTGTTGTTTGTCATATAGGCAGTTTTAAAATTGGCCCCAGAGTCAATATTATTTGCAAGTATGATAGGGAGAGAAAAAAACAACAAGGGTAAAAACTATCATTTGTACTGAGAGCTATTTAGATTACTTATACATATATGTGAATTATTGTTCAGACAACAAGAAGTGAGTTTGATGACAGCCAGTACCAGGTTCGCAGAAGATATAATGATTTCCTCTGGCTCAGGCAAAAACTTGAAGAAAACTATCCCACACATCTAGTACCTGTAAGTCGATGCTTGACTTGTATCATACATATAATTATTTTATATTATATATTTATACTTTATATTGCAAGATAATACCTGATAAAACATTTTAAATCAATAATTGAAATCATGTATGTGCTAATAATATATGCTATAAAATTCATTATATTCCAGCCCCTTCCAGAGAAACACAGTTTACGCAGACTTGATCGATTTAGTCCAGAATTCCTGAAAGTCAGACAACAAGCACTACAGAAGTTCCTAACTCGCCTGGCAGATCACCCTGTTCTTTCCTTTGATAAAAATTTTCAAGTATTTCTGACAGCAAAGGCCTGGGTAAATATTTAATTATATATATTTAAATAGTAAGCCTAGCTAATTAGCACATATCTGATACAAAATTTTCTACCAAGTAAAAATATAATTAAGAGAATAAAAATAATTAACATAAGCAACAGTGTTTCATACAGAATTATCATAGAACATTAATTTCTAACACAGGTAAATGTCTTGTTAGTATGATGGTGAATTTCCTTTGCATACTTTCTATTTCTTACCTGTAAATATATATGTAACTTTTTTCCTGTCAAAGAATAATGTTTATGCTTGTTTTAGGAGTTTCAAGCTCATAAAAAGCATGGTACTGGAATTCTGACCAGGATGTCGGACTCCATTCATAACATTAGTGCATCTTACATGATGAAGAACCGAAGTCCAGAATTCACCTTGATTTATGAATATGTACAAACTTTTGCTGAGAAGCTCGGTGTCATTGATCGCATATCACAGAGGATTGTTAAAGAACAAACAGGTAAATAACATATCACAGAGATTGTTAAAGAATAAACAGATAAATAACATATCACAGAGGACTGTTAAAGAACAAACAGGTAAATAACATATCACAGAGGATTGTTAAAGAACAAACAGATAAATAACATATCAAAGAGGATTGTTAAAGAACAAACAGATAAATAACATATCACAGAGGATTCAAACAGATAAATAACATATCACAGAGGATTGTTAAAGAATAAAAAGATAAATAACACATCACAGGGGACTGTTAAAGAACAAACAGATAAATAACATATCACAGAGGATTGTTAAAGAACAAACAGATATATATCATATCACAGAGGATTGTTAAAGAACAAACAGATATATAACATATCACAGAGGATTGTTAAAGAAAAAACAGATAAATAACATATCACAGAAGATTGTTAAAGAATAAACAGATAAATAACATATCACAGAGAACTGTTAAAGAACAAACAGATAAATAACATATCACAGAGGATTCAAACAGATAAATAACATATCACAAAGGATTGTTAAAGATCAAACAGGTAAATAACATATCACAGAGGATTATTAAAGAACAAACTGGTAAATAACATATCACAGAGGATTGTTAAAGAACAAACAGATAAATAACATATCACAGAGGATTGTTAAAGAACAAACAGATAAATAACATATCACAGAGGATTCAAACAGATAAATAACATATCACAGAGGATTGTTAAAGAACAAACAGATAAATAACATATCACAGAGGATTGTTAAAGAACAAACAGGTAAATAACATATCACAGAGGATTGTTAAAGAACAAACAGATAAATAACATATCACAGAGGATTCAAACAGATAAATAACATATCACAGAGGATTGTTAAAGAACAAACAGATAAATAACACATCACAGGGGATTTATAAAGAATAAACAAGTAAATCCCTTATCACAGATGATCATTAAAAAACAAACAGCTAAATATAGCTCACAGTCTATTCTATAAGTGTGAGTAACTTTTTCAAAAAACTCAAATTTACAAAGTCTCTATTTTATGTCAATACTCATAAGCAAATCTGAAATATTTGATTATTGGAATGTTTGTCTTGTTAACACTTCAATCTCAAGAATGCAAGATACTTAAAATATCATTATAATCTGCTGTGCATGTATTCAGCTGGTGTTTTTAATTTAGATTATGTGCTAGAGTTATGTGAGTGGGGTCCTATCTACACACTGTGGTCAAACTCTGAGGACCAGCTAACCTCCCCCCTTTTAGCCATGTCTAGAGCTGTTGATGTGTGTGCCCAGGCCCTGAAGGAAACAGTAAGTTTGCTGATTTACAGATGTAATTAACATTTATTTCTTGAATCTGCATATTAAACATACATTTATATTATATTGCATTTCTCATGATATCAATTTGAAATTGTTATTTGGAAAAAAAAAATAATGTAAATCCCGGTTTTGTTCTTATCTCTGTCTAGATTGAATCAACAGAGGACAATTTCTCCCAGCCTTTAAAGGAGTATATACTCTACACAGATGCTATAAAAGTAAGTTCCATAGTCTGTCTGAGATTGTCTGTAATAAAATAGTGTTTCATCTGTCAAATATATCCTAAAGGAAGCAGGCTGTCAATGTATGCTGTTTTTCAACTGTAACATAGGAAAATATAACCCGATTTTTGTATGGCAGAGATACCAATGTATTTTTACAGGCAGTTTTAAGAAGAAGAGATGCAATACAAATGGAATATGAGACAACGGTAGATGAGTTAAACAAAAGAAAGGATGAACGTGAGCAGGTAATGGTTTAGTTTTTGTTATATGTGTAAATGTATCTGTGTCAACAGATTAAAAACCTCTTATATCTAAGTTCTACTGGTCATTTTTTTTTCATGTATGTAACATTTAAAGGATTCTAAATCAGCCTAAACATTCATTTGATATCCTGACTATACTGTAGGTAAAGATTTCGGATCAGACATATTCTATCGGGGCCTTCCTTGGCAAAGATCCAGAAGATGTCAAGCAGCAGAAACAAGATAAACTAGAACAACAGATTGAGGAGGTAACTCCAGTCCTGTTGTTTTGGCATAGTAAATAGTAATGTTTTATCTTAAGAGTTTTAGAGAAAACTAGAGAAAACTTTTCATAAAATTGCTCCCTTTGTGCATTCTTTGACATGGGGTGAATGATAAATGTTATGTTTGTTTAGCTGACTAAGAAGATGGAGGTACTTAATGACCGGACCGTATGTGCAGACACAGACCTGAGGGTGGACATGGAGCGATGGCACAAAAATAAACAAAGAGATCTCAAAGAGCTCTTCATAGAATCTGCTGATAGACAGATTCTCTACTACGAAAAGGTAAGGTCTTAGTAATAAATGTAGTTCACCTGAGCATGTTATATTGTGTTTTAATCTGTAGTAAGAAGGAAAGGAGAAAATTTATGGCTGGATCAGAATTGAACCTTGGACCCCTGCATTTCTAATCAGGTGCTCTAACCACTGAGCTACCCAGGCCAATATTGGTCCATATAGCCCCAACCACTGCATTGATATACATATTGTTTACTTTTTATGCCCCGAGATCGAAAGATCCTGGGGGTATATTGTTTTTGTCCTGTCTGTCTGTTTGTCCATTTGTCTGTCTGTCTGTTGTCAACTTTAACCTTGCCCATAACTTTTGATTGGTTGGAGCTATGTTTTTCATATTTCACAAGTGTATTCCTTGTGACAAGACCTTTCTTTTGGTTTGACCTTTTGACCTTGACCTTGGAGTTTGACCCACTTTTGCAAAATTTTATGAGACTTTAACCTTGGCCATAACTTCTGAACAGTTGGTCCTTGGGGTTTCAAACTTCACATGTGTATTCTTTGTGACAAGGCCTTCCTCTGGATATCAACCTCTTTGACCCTTTGACCTTGACCTAGGAGTTTGAGCTACTTTTGAAAAACTTTAACCTTGGCCATAACTTTTGAATGGTTGGAGCTAGGACTTTCATACTTCACATATGTAATCCTTGTGACAAGACCTTTTTTGGATACCAACCACTTTGACCTTTTTACCTTGACTTAGGAGTTTGACCTACTTTTGAAAAACTTTAACATTAGCCATAACTTTTGAATGGTTGATGCTAGGGCTATACTTCACATATGTAATACTTGTGACATCACCTTCCTTTGGATACCAACCACTTTGACCCTTTGACCTTGACATAGGAGTTTGACCTACTTTAGACAAACTTAAACCTTGGCCATAACTTTTGAATGGTTGGTGCTAGGGCTTTCATACTTCACATATGTAATCCTTGTGACAAGACCTTCCTTTGGATACCAGCAACTTTGACCTTGACCTTGACATTTTACTTGCTTTTAAAAACTTTAACCTTCACCATAACTTTTGAACAGTTCCAGCTAGGGCTTTCAAATTTTACAGGTATATTCCTCGAGACGAGACCTTTTTTTGGGTACCAACATTTTTTATCTTTTGGCCTTGATTTTGACTTGCATTTGAGAAACTTTAACCTTCGCCATAAGCTGCCATACGGGGGCATCAGTGTTTCACAAAAACACTGTGTTCATGGTTGGCTGTCATGATAATTGAGCATTGTTCTGCCTATATAATATATATGTATATTGTTTTAGTGTCTGAAGGCCTGGGAGGATGCAATAAGAGCCATTCAAGCCAAGGACATTTTACAAGATGTCCCAGAGTCACAGGTAACAGAAACATCACCCAATAACACTTCATCAGAGGACCGCGGGGACACCATGGAGGAATCCAGTACAACCAGTGAGCCTCACGAGGGAGGGTCAAACAGTGAACCCTCCGTATGAAAAGAAACAACCTTTATAAACTCTTCTTTTCACTCATAAATCAATGCTGAAAATGGACTCTTCAGGTTAAAGGGTTTTTATCACGTATCTAAATTTCTTAAAAATGAAACTTTATTATATTCTTGAAACATATTATCGTTTAATAATGAAATAATGTTGAAAACAGCCGTAATTAGACGATAAAACGCCTGTAATATAGGGTCCTCGAAGTAAAAATCTCCACTAATTAGATAGGGGTCATGTGGTACTGAAATGTCATAGGTGTAAATGGTCAATAGAACTCGTAAAGCTTATCGTAAGAAAAAAATATATTGAATAGATTTTTAAGCTAAATAAATAGAATACACAGTATGGCCGGTTGAAATTTTGACATAGACTATATTCCTTTGGTTATGGACGGTCAATCTTTTAGATATGAATGTCTAGCAGAGAGAAATAACCCGAAAATATGCCGACAATTGGAGAGAGGTCACCGAAGACGAAGCCGTTGACAACTCGGGACTTCAACTAAATAGAACGAATTACTAAAGTTTAACTTCGTAAACATTCATAAATATGGGAATTTTAAATTCCTCTTCATTATTATTTTAATCAATTATAAATAAATAAATCCTGTATATCTTCTATCTGTTCTAGCAGTGCATATCATGTACTAGAAATGACACTTCTTCAATGGCGCCGTACGCCATTATGATGTTCACAACATTCCTACTAGATTCTGTGCGACTTTTAAAAAATGCGTGTTTGTCATTTATTTTTTTTTTTAAAAAGTATCTTTCCTTAAAATATTTTATAGTACAGAAAAAAAAAAATCGTGATCGATCGGGCATAAACGATTGTTCTGAATGGAGATAAACGCCATGGCATTTGCAGAGAAAGGCCCCCCTTTTATCTCTCGACCAAGAAATGTGAGAAAAAATTCTTCCTAAAACCTTTCCTGTGCACATTTGTGCACCATAAAGCCATAAATTATACCTTACAAGTTTTCAATTATCACTTAATTATTTTCTAACAGGTTTAAAAGACACAACAAATGAGCCCTTTTGTATACACAATAAGTACTTCGCTTGACCAGGATTGACACCTATGACGTCAGAGCAATGGCGCGTAACATTGGCGATCAAAATATGCATATTGAGAAATTCAAACTTTGAATCGCTGAAACATCAAAAATATTAATTTTCTAGCAAAGATTTTTAAATATATGATTTTAATAGCATGTAAACTTTGTCATATCAAAAAATTTTGAAACGTGATAAAAACCCTTTAAGGTGGATTTTTAAGATCTAGTCATATTTTCATGATTACTATATAATAAAGAAGTTACACTGTGTCATACCTGAATAAAGACCTACACACCTGGAATTGTTTTCTGACCCAGTGCACTTGCTTTATGTTAGGAATCATGTAATTAACTTCTTGTAGACAGTAACTCGTGTGTTGTCAGATATAGAGAAAATATGCATATAATGATTTTTAAAGAAACATACGTGTACATGTACATTATATTTGAATAATATATGTTGCGCACATGTCCTGTATCAATTTTTTTTATCTATAAGCAAATTAGTCTCTAAAATTCAAACTGTAATTTTATGTATATACATGTTTTATAACTATATATTGAGGATGACCCAGATTGATCCTAAGTTAGCTCCCTTTATCAGTATTGCATTTAATTTATGTGTCTTTTTGAATCCTTTGTAATTTGTTACTGATGTTTTTGTTTTGGAGAATTTCTGTTTTTACATTATATGAAAAAGAGGGGTTTCACCATATTACAAAACATTCCATATACCCAGGGTTCATCTTACTGCTTGTCAATTTAAAGATCAATAAAACTACATGTATAATTTATAAATTTTTTTAGTCAATGTGATATTGTTAGTTAGTGTTTCACTTACAGGGATAAAACAGTGACAAAATGTTTAAATTAGTTCCAGCAGTGCATCACTCTTTTTGGACATTTTGTTATTCACAACAAACAATCCATGTTACTAATCTACTGTACATGTTTGCTCATTTATCCTTCTTTCTAACCTTACTGAGTTTATGAAGATGGAGAAGTGATGTCAGTTTGATGGTGTAAGCATTTTCTATTTCTTGAAAGCAGAGTAACTTTGACTTGAATATGTTAAAAAATTTTGAATGAGAACATTTGGAAGGGGGTTGTTATGAGGGACAGATAGTTTACTGTATTTACCAGTAAAATATAAAAATACTCTCTTACTGAAAGTAGAATAATACAGGTAAATCTAATATTATATCATATAAGTGATTTATTCATAATTTGATATTGTTTTTATATCCTAAATATATCTAAACTTGTTAAAGATGTAACAATATTTCAAGTGTTTTTTTACATTGTCTGCATCAGGCCCATGTGAATCCCAAGGGGAAAAAACAAACAGACAGGTTGTTTTGTTTTTGTTGTGGTTTTTTTTTTCGTTGACAATTTATTTTTTGTGATACTATGATTTTGGTGACTGCCATTTGTCTTGGACTCTCTCTCTCCCTGTTATTAATGTCTGCTTACTTGTCTCGACAGATGAGTCATTGTTTAAGGTTTTAATAATAACAATGTACTATATTCTTAATACTTAATGTCATGTTTGCAACCAAACCAGATTTGTTTTGAAAAAATAGATTGTTAAGGACCCTCTATACACTGACGAAAAATATTTTTTTGGACTTTGAGAAAATTATATAGTGTAAAGGAGGATATTTTGAAATTAACTAATTATTTTTAATATAGGGAGCGTGCCTTTTTTATCCAGGAAAAATCTTCAAAGATAATGAAGTAGTTATAAATAAAATTTGCTTTTTCTTACTCAAATGGAGAAAATACATGCAAATAAAGTTTTCAACTACTCTATCTTGATCTAATATAATGTTTAGAATACTTGGATTTATTTTAAATTATGTCATACAGTGCAGATTACAATTTATTCTATTTCTATATCAAATGATGGGTCAGTCTAACTACACAAAAGTACCCTGAAATTAGGGTTAAGTGTAGAGAGAGACCTTAAATCTGCACTGTATGAATGAAGTGTGAAAACTGACCAGGATTTGGTAATTGATGTCACATGCATACAAACAGTTAATGTTAATTATTTTTAAATTGGAGTATTTTTAATTTTTAACATAATTGTTCACTTTGATTCAGTTTCTCTAGAGGTGGATTTATGAATTAAAGAATCCAAATTCAGACAATCGAAGTACCGGTACATGTCAAACAGTACAGATTTGGAATCCAGGTTAGGTTTCTATTTAAACTTTTTCACTATTCTTTAGTATATCAAGTGAAATTCAACAATATAAATACTTAATATCAATAGTAAACAATATACCACGAATTACAAAACTTTTGTATTTCATTTTTTACTGCTCATTTAAATAAAGAACACTTGTGAGTTTGTAATTGTTATAGTTGCTGTAGTTTTAAAAAACAAGTTGTGGGTAATAGAATTTTAATGTAGAAATTTCTTAAATTTACTTGAATGTGTAATAATTTTATTAAGATATATATAAGACATTCAAGAAATTGCAGAATACACAGGACTACAAATGAATTATCTCTTTTTTAATGTCCAGTGGCATTACTGATATTTGTTTAATGGAGAATCAATGCTTGTTTACTATCTTTACGTTATTGTACCAGCTGGACAGTGGAGGAGGTACAGATTCTCCACCAATAAGAATATACATGTAACATTATCCAATGTTTACTGTGCTGTATCTGTGCAATATTGTAGTTCTTTAATCAAAGATGTTGTTTTTGAATAATAAAGTGTTAAACACTGTTGTTTATAAACATGTGTATTGTAAGGTATAGCAATGAAGGAAAGAGAAATGTAATGACTTTTCATCATTGTAACACACATATGTAGGGGTTTTATTGTTATTTCAGTGAAACTATACATCTTTCTAATGAAAGACTGAAGAAAATTGATCTACACTATGTGATAAAGGAGATGAAGAGAAATGTATCCAGTATATCTAGTGATAAAGGGTATATACTAGTAAATGTATATCTAGTGATGTGATAGAAGGTATACTAGTTTATGTATATGTAGTGATGTGATAAAGGGTATACAAGAAAATGAGGGTGATCAATAAAATATATTGGCCTTAGCAGTTTTATGGAAAAATACAGAATTGTCAGGCAGTCACTTGATTCATCATTTACTCATACAGGATTCCAGAGAATTTGCATATTTTTCAATTTCTGATACAGAATTGTTACTGGAGCAAAATGACAGGGGTCTCTAAAGTAGAGTTTTTGCATAAATTTAAATTTTAGGTGTATAGATATGAAGGGTGATTCATGCAGAATTTAGAATTTTAAGAGAACATTTACACAGAAAGATGAATACTGATAGCAATAATGGGGGAACCAAAAAGTGTCAAGACAGGAAGGAGTCTGTCCTTTTTCATCAAAATAAAAATAAAAAAATTATTGAAAATAGTGTAGTGAAAGGGGATGTGGATCCAAAAATATGATCCTGAGGCAAAAGAACAAAGTAAGTAATGGAGAAGGAGGGGTTCCACACATGAAAAAATTTCAAGGGGGAGAAATCTGTTGGAAAGGTCATAATCAGTATATGATGATGTGTGAGGGTAAAGAACTAATAATGTGGAAAAAAAGGCATAGATCTAATGATGTGACAGAGATGAAGTTTATGTAGTGATGTGTGAGTGGTATGCAGATCTAGCGATGTGTGTATAGATCTAGTGATGTGTGAGAGAGTGTGTAGATCTAGTGATGTGTGAGAGAGTGTAGATCTAGTGATGTGTGAGAGAGTGTAGATGTAGTGATGTGTGAGAGAGTGTAGATCTAGTGATGTTAAGGGAGAAAGTGTAGATCTAGTGATGTAAGGGATAGTGTGTAGATTTAGTGATGTGTGAGAGAGTGTGATGTGTGAGAGAGTGTAGATGTAGTGATGTGTGAGAGAGTGTAGATCTAGTGATGTGTGAGAGAGTGTGTAGGTCTAGTGACATGTGAGAGATGTGTAGATCAAGTGATGTGTGACAGGTGTGTAGATCTAGTGATGTGAGGGAGAGAGTGTAGATCTAGTGATGTGAGGAGGAGGTTGTAGATCTAGCGATGTGAGGGAGGGAGTGTAGATCTAGTGATGTGAGGGAGAGAGTGTAGATCTAGTAATGTGAGGGAGAGAGTTTAGATCTAGTGATGTGAGGGAGTGGATGTAGATCTAGTGATATAAGGGAGAGATTGTAGATCTAGTGATGTGTGAGAGAGTGTAAATCTAGTGATGTGTGATAGGTGTGTAGATCTAGTGATGTGTGAGAGAGTGTGTGGATCTAGTGATGTGAGAAAGAGGTGTGTAGATCTTGTGATGTGTGAGAGAGTGTGTAGGTCTAGTGACGTGTAAGAGATGTGTAGATCAAGTGATGTGTGACAGGTGTGTCGGTCTAGTGATGTGAGGGAGAGAGTGTAGATCTAGTGATGTTAGGAAAAGGTTGTAGATCTAGTGATGTGAGGGAGGGAGTGTAGATCTAGTGATGTGAGGGAGAGAGTGTAGATCTAGTGATGTGAGGGAGGGAGTGTAGATCTAGTGATGTGAGGGAGAGAGTGTAGATCTAATGATGTGAGGGAGAGAGTATAGATCTAGTGATGTGAGGGAGAGGATGTAGATCTAGTGATGTGAGGGAGAGAGTATAGATCTAGTGATGCGAGGGAGAGAGTGTAGATCTAGTGATGTGAGGGAGAGAATGAAGAACTAGTGATGTAAAGGAAAGGTTGTAAAAATAGTGAGGTGATGGAGAGAATGTAGATCTAGTGATGTGAGGGAGAGGGTGTAGATTTAGTTATGTGAGGGAGAGGGTGTAGATCTAGTTATGTTAGGGAGAGGGTGTAGATCTAGTGATGTGAGAGAGTGTAGATCTAGTGATGTGAGGGAGAGAGTGTAGATCTAGTGATGTGAGAGAGTGTAGATCTAGCGATGTGAGGGAGTAGATGTAGATCTAGTGATGTGAGGGAGAGAGTGTAGATCCAGTGATGTGAGGGAGAGAATGTAGATCTAGTGATGTGAGGGAGAGGATGTAGATCTAGTGATGTGAGGGAGTAGGTGTAGATCTAGTGATGTGAGGGAGAGAGTGTAGATCCAGTGATGTGAGGGAGAGAGTGTAGATCTAGTGATGTGAGGGAGAGGATGTAGATCTAGTGATGTGAGGGAGGGAGTGTAGATCTAGTGATGTGAGGGGGAGAGTAGAGATCTGGTGATGTGAGGGAGAGAGTGTAGATCTATTGATGTGAGGGAGAGAGTGAAGATCTAGTGATGTGAGGAAGAGATTGCAGATCTAGTGATGTAAAGGAAAGGTTGTAAAAATAGTGAGGTGAGGGAGAGAATGTAGATCTAGTGATGTGAGGGAGAGGGTGTAGATCTAGTGATGTGAGGGAGGGAGTGTAGATCTAGTGATGTGAGGGAGAGAGTGTAGATCTAGTGATGTGAGGGAGAGAGTGTAGATCTAGTGATGTGTGAGAGAGTGTAGATCTAGTGATGTGAGGGAGAGAGTGTAGATTTATTGATGTGAGGGAGGGGGTGTAGATCTAGTGATGTGAGGGGGAGACTGTAGATCTAGTCATGTGTGAGATGTGTATATCTAGTGATGTGATGGAGAGGCTTTAGATCTAGTGATGTGAGGGAGAGGATGTAGATCTAGTGATGTGAGGGAGTAGGTGTAGATCTAGTGATGTGAGGGAGAGAGTGTAGATCCAGTGATGTGAGGGAGAGAGTGTAGATCTAGTGATGTGAGGGAGAGGATGTAGATCTAGTGATGTGAGGGAGGGAGTGTAGATCTAGTGATGTGAGGGGGAGAGTAGAGATCTGGTGATGTGAGGGAGAGAGTGTAGATCTATTGATGTGAGGGAGAGAGTGAAGATCTAGTGATGTGAGGAAGAGATTGCAGATCTAGTGATGTAAAGGAAAGGTTGTAAAAATAGTGAGGTGAGGGAGAGAATGTAGATCTAGTGATGTGAGGGAGAGGGTGTAGATCTAGTGATGTGAGGGAGGGAGTGTAGATCTAGTGATGTGAGGGAGAGAGTGTAGATCTAGTGATGTGAGGGAGAAAGTGTAGATCTAGTGATGTGTGAGAGAGTGTAGATCTAGTGATGTGAGGGAGAGAGTGTAGATTTATTGATGTGAGGGAGGGGGTGTAGATCTAGTGATGTGAGGGGGAGACTGTAGATCTAGTCATGTGTGAGATGTGTATATCTAGTGATGTGATGGAGAGGCTTTAGATCTAGTGATGTGAGGGAGAGGGTGTAGATCTAGTAATATGTTGGAGAGGCTGAAGATCTAGTGATGTGAGGGAGAGGGTGTAAATCTAGTGATGTTAGGGAGAGAGTGTAGAACTAGTGATGTTAGGGAGAGGGTGTAGATCTAGTTAGATGATGGAGAGGCTGTAGATCTAGTAATATGATGGAGAGGCTTTAGATCTAGTTATGTGAGGGAGTGGGTGTAGATCTAGTGATGTGAGGGAGTGGGTGTAGAACTAGTGATGTGAGGCAGAGGATGTAGAACTAGTGATGTGAGGGAAGGGTTGTAGATCTAGTGATGTAATGGAGAGGGTGAAGATCTAGTGATGTGAGGGAGAGAGTGAAGGTCTAGTGATGTGAGGGAGAGGGTGTAGATCTAGTGATGTGGGGGAGAGGATGTAGATCTAGTGATGTGAGGGAGAGAGTGTATATCAATGATGCAAATGAGTGTTTTTGAATCTAGTGATATGAAGAAGTCGTAGATCTAGTGATTGGAGAGAGGATGTAGATGTGAGGGGGATGAAAATCTTATGACATAAAGAAGGGGATGTAGATGCAACTGGGGGGATATAAAAACTGGGATGAGATATACTATAGACCTAGTGATGCAAGGGAGTGATCTAGATCTACTGTATAAAGTTTTTTAACCCCCTCTTCATATTACTACATCTGCATTCACCTCTTGCATCAGTAAATGCACATCCTAACTTTCACATTACTAAGTGTATACAGGGTAACTCCCCCCCCCCCCTTTTGCCCTTGTCACAGGTTGGCAATTTTAGAACAGGGTGAATTCAAAGATTACAGCATTATCTGTTTTACATACCTGTATCTAGGAAAAATTCAAAATGAAGCAAACTTACTTGAAAGTGAAAAAAAAACGAGGATAGATTTGGTAAGAAATGGTGTGGAACTAGTAAGAAAAGGGAGGGGTGTATTTAACATGATGGAGAGGGTGTGGATCCAGTGAGATGTGGTTTGGTTCTAGTGAGACAAGGATATAGATCTAGTGAAATAGGGGATAGATCTAGCAAAATGAGGCATAGATTTAGTGAAATGGATATAGATCTAGTAAAATGAGGTGAAAATCTAATGAATTTAGATGTAGATCTAGTGAAATAGGTTGTAGATCTAATGAAATAGGGTTTAGATTTAGCGAAATGAGGTGAAGTTCTAGTGAAATAGGGTGTATATCTAGTGAATTGAAGTGTAGATCTAGTGAAATAGGGTAACGATCTAGTGAAATAGGATAGAGATCTAGTGAAACAGGGTGTAGATCTAGTGAAAACAAAACTGTGGATCTAGTGGAATAGGGTGTAGTTCTAGTTATGTCAGGGAAAGGGTGTAGTTCAAGTTGTGTGTAGATGGCATTTCTACATCCATTTCTCAACATTTAATGATGGATGTAGAAATGCAAAGGGGTCAAAATCTGAAGATGAATTTAATTTGGGATAAATCTAATGATGGAATGGATGTCAACATCTAGAGATGTAGGGGATTTGGCATAATTCTAGTGATGGGATGGAAGTCATCTTCTAGAGATGAAGGGGATTTGGCATAAATCTAGTGATGGGATGGAGGTCATCACCTAGAGATGTAGGGGATTTGGCATAAATCTAGTGATGGGATGGATGTCATCATCTAGAGATGTATGGGATTTGGCATAAATCTAGTGATGGGATGGAAGTCATCATCTAGAGATGTAGAGGATTTTGCGTAAATCTAGTGTTTGGATGGAGGTTAATATTTACTGATAAAAGTTAAGAAATGTAGATCTAGGGATGTGAAAAAGAGAACTATAGAATCAGAGAGATCTAGTGATGTGAAAGAGGGAACTATAGAATCAGAGAGATCTAGTGATATGAAGGAGGGAATTATAGAATCAAAGAGATCTAGTGATGTGAAGGAGGGAACTATAGAATTAGAGAAACCTAGTGATGTGAAGGAGGAAACTATAGAATCAAAGAGATCTAATGACGCGAAAGAGGGAACTATAGAATTAGAAAGATCTAGTGATGGGAAAGAGGGAACTATAGAATCAGAGAGATCTAGTGATGTGAAGGAGGGAACTATAGAATTAGAGAGATCTAGTGATGTGAAGGAGGGAACTATAGAATTTGAGAGATCTAGTGATGTGAAGGAGGGAACTATAGAATCAGAGAGATCTAGTGATGTGAAGGAGGGAACTATAGAATCAGAGAGATCTAGTGACGCGAAAGAGGGAACTATAGAATTAGAGAGATCTAGTGATGTGAAGGAGGGAACTATAGAATCGGAAGGATCTAGTGACGCGAAAGAGGGAACTATAGAATTAGATAGATCTAGTGAAGTGAAGGAGGGAACTATAGAATCAGAGAGATCTAGTGATGTGAAGGAGGGAACTATAGAATCAGAGAGATCTAGTGATGTGAAGGAGGGAACTATAGAATCAGAGAGATCTAGTGATGTGAAGGAGGGAACTATAGAATCAGAGAGATCTAGTGATGTGAAGGAGGTAATTTGTATATTTCTATACTTCTATGACCCTGTAAACCTGATATAATTGTAGACTACAAAAAAGATTCATCAGCAAAATTCTGTTCAGCATTTTCATGTGTTGAATTTGACTTCTGTTGTTAAAATTTTAAATGAACAAATTCCTGATATAAGTAACTTCTAAATGTCTGTTTGTACTTTGTTGCTGATTTGTCTCTATAGGTTTTATACATTCTCAGCATATTTAGACAAGCATCCCCCTTAACACTTGTTCTTTCTCAGTAGTAGTTCAGAGTCATTCACATTTGCAGCCATTTCTTTGCGAAATTTTATTCAGTGAATATATGTTTTAGAACATAGGTAATCAGAGATTACAGAGCTCACCTCAACGAATGTTGTCTTTAAATAAGGCAGTCCCAAACTAATAATCTAGTAGTGTGCATCCCTAGATGTAATATTTATGCAATTTTTGTCCAATAGGGCTTGCAGTTACTTGGGAATGGTTGATTTACCTAAAAACTTTAAACTAGTCACTCATCCAGAAAATGTAAGTCATATCCAGCATCCGAAGCAAGTTTGAGAGTGTTCATCCTGTGATGCATCATCCATGCAAGTTTGGTTCAGATAGCCCTTATAGTTTATTTTAACCTGGTCACTCATGTGGAAAATGTTGGTCAGATACAGCATCCGAAGCAAGCCTGGTAGTGTGCATCTTTAGATATATCATCCATGCAAGTTTGGTCAACATAGGGCTTAAAGTTACTTGAAAATGAGACCTGCTCTAAAAACTTTAACCTGGTCACTTATCCAGAAAATGTAGGTCATATCCAACATCCCAAGCAAGTCCAGTAGTGTGCATCCTTAGATGCATCATCCATGCAAGTTTGGTCAACATAGGACTTATAGTTACTTGGAAATGAGGCTGCTCTAAAAACTTTAACCTTGTCACTCATCCGAAAAATGTAGGTCAGATCCAGCATCCGAAGCAAGTTCAGTAGTGTGCATCCTTGGATGTATCATCCATGCAAGTTTGGTCAATATAGGGCTTTTAGTTACTTGGAAATGAGACCTGCTCCAAAAACATTATCCTGGTCATTCTTCAGCTGAAATTGCAGCATCTGAAACCTTGACTGGTACAATAAAACATACTAGAAGCATCCTCCATGCATCTCTGATTAATATAGGACACAGAAGTACTTGAAAAAAAAACTGCAACCTGGGATGCTAACACCGACGGTATTACATAAGCTCCCCCAACTTCGTTAAAGTGAGCTAAAAACCATAGAAATGATCTGTTCTTAAACTGCATCCCATATCAGCTCGTTCTCTTCACATTAGCCACTGAGCCTGGTGGAGCTTTAATGGATAATGTTGTGAAATCATTTTTGTGAATGGAGGACAGGTCGTCTTTACCCACAAACAATAACTGTCAATGTATCAGTTCATTGAATCTTTTGTATTACATGATTTACCCACAAAATTACATCCCCATGAACCAGGAAAATTTTGGTCATTTGATATAAAACAATTCCACAGTATGGGATGCTTACATAAATGTGACCAAAAAAAAACATAGCATGTGATATTATCTATGCATAATCAGTCACCAATATGAATCTTGCTGAAATAAATACAAATATTTACATGTCCGAGATTATACTACAAATAATAAAAAAAAATTGATTTCTACATAAAGGCTTAAGCTACTGGTTCATCGATAAGCGTGTTAAAAAAAAATCACATGCAGGACAGGACATAGAGAGACAGAAATAGGAGGGGCTTGTGGCATGCTAATTAATGGAATCAAGTGCATGTAAATATTAAGGAATAACTGTCAGATTTTTAGGTTTCATGATGATGACCAAGCAATTGGCTTGTGTAATAATTTTATGCATAAATGCTGAAGGTGTTTATGCAAATTATCACGCAAGCCAATTGCTTGATCACATCATGAAACCAAATCATAAGACAGTTGTTCCTTAAATAAAGAATTTAAGTCCAAACCAGTGTATCTATACAGCTTGTCACCAAGGCTGCTGGGTGCATAATAATTCAGGTAGATATAATAAGTTTTATTTAAAAGTAATGCAAACAATATTTTGTTTCTTCTAAAGCATTTATTTGAATTTTTCATGTCTAGAAAGGGCTGAGTGCTTTCAGTGACTACAAAAATGGAAGGTATTAACAAATAACCTTATATAGATATATTCTGACTATGAACACAAAAAGAGCACAGTTGCACAGAAGCTCTGCTTGATCTGCAACAATCAAAGTCATACATGTATATTGAACAATTAGTCATTCTACTAGAACAAATTATTTGTCTACAGTAATGGAAATGAAAAATATACATGATCTATATCACATTCTTCAAATATACACTGGAAAATCGAACACTGAGACAGTTTATTGCTAGAAAAAGGGTCTGTAAAATAATAAATATATATAACGCATAGAAAATATATAGTAAGAAATAAATCAGAAGATGTTTGTAATGCACAAGAAATCAATAAAAATGATTCGTTCTTAATATCACAGTAATTACGTAAAAATGTCACAGAACTGATGTATGATATACCAATATTCAACAACAACACCATTAAATCTTATTTACAATAGTAGTTTTAATTATAATTTATATGGAAAAAGGATCACTGTTCTCCTACAATTAATTTGAGTTATCACACTGGGTCTTGATTAATTTTGGCAAGGGAGATAACCTACAGATAACCTTAAATAATTTATTTGACTTGGGTTATAATGCTAAGACTTGGCAACAGTAAAAAATGTTAAATGTTGGTTGGCTAAGTATTTAACATTTCATGTAACAGAAAAGGAATTGACAGTAAATTGATTACAAAGGCAACCCAGGCATAATACTGACACATAGTAACAGAATCAGACAGAGGGACAGCCAATGTACAAAATGTGAAAAATCACTGAAAATATCAACTTCTTGTTATCATTATACAATTATAAAAGTTCTGTATAAATACCATATACAACAGATGCTGCTTAATGCTTTACAGAAAAAAAAATCTTGTTCAATTACCAATACTTGAACAACTGCACCTCACAAACAAAATCCATCATACAAATGGCCAAAAACCACTCCTAAGTAAACAACAGCTCTTAATTAACTTCAAATAATCTTTTAAAAATAAAGTTTATGCAGAAATATAAAACTCTGATTTATGACTTCCTCTGGAATACTGCAATGATGCTGTCATAATATTCAATTGTTTACAAAAATATGCTTTATTCATTACAAATGTACAAAGTGAGACCTTGGTCACAATCAGGCTCTATAAAAATATACTTACTTCCCCAAAACAACACTTTTTTTGTATCTTAATTTCCAGTCATGGCCTTTAGAAAAGATACTTTGGCTAATACCTAATATATACCCTTCACACTGGTATCAAAATACAGCGTCCAACAAAGTCCAGGAATCGAGCATTATCTCACTAAGCTTGCTGATTGCAATGAATTTGACAATGAATGCAGTTATATTCTTCTTGCAATATCACTTTTACTCATAATAGATTCCAAATACAGTTCCTATAGCAAACAGTGTCTTGTTGCGATATTCAAAAGTAGAATAAGTGTCACATGACGCATCCCATAAGCACCTGCTTCCTACCCACAATCCTGAGTTTTTTAATTCTCCTATGTGAACTGTGCAGATTATTTTGAATCGAGGGATCATCATTTCTTTGACCCTTGCCTTAATGATCTGTAAGATGAAAAATTTATTAAAATTGGACTTTCTATGCATGGAATATTTTGCTTCATTAGAGTTTAAGGTCTGACGACACGTTCCTCGAATGTCTGTTTTGTATCTCTTCATAATATACAACAAATTTATCATAATTATCATTGTCTTGTAATTTCTAAAATGTTTACAAACTGTTTACAAAAATAAATACACCAAAAATTGTGATATTGGCAATGCTAGTGATTTCCAAAAGGATTATATAAGAAACACCATCCTCTGGTATTTTGCACAAATGCCTGGTAAGGTACCTCATTTTTTTCAGAGGATACCTGTTAAAGTAGCAATACTTCATCAACAAATTCTTGGGAAAAATTATATATTATTGAGGAACATGTCATCTGACCTTACATATAAGAACATCACAGGATTAACCAAATTAAAGCTAATATAAATATCTTTGTTTTGAACATATTCCATTTACAATGTGTCAGAGGGATTGGATAAAAGTTTTGAAAATTTAGGTCTTCTCCCAGTATAATATAAATAAATACAGTGTTACTATGGTTTTTATTTTCAGACTATATTTTCTAACTTTCCCTAATCTCACCTCTGATAATGTTTTGGTCATTTGTCTGCACAATTCTGGTTCATATTTCTCTTCTGCTAAGTACCCTTCAATCACATCTCGAATGACGTTCTTCACTTTGGCGGATGGAAATCTCTTGTTTGGTGTAAGTTGATATGTATTTTCGAATCTGACTGGAGGTTTAAAGTCATGGTGCCCCGTGTCCTCGGTTACAGAAACTGTGCTCATAGATCTTAAAAATAAAAATCACAATTTTTATGTGTAAATACAAAGACCTTTTTAACCCAAATATATGCTTATTGTAGAATTTAAAAAAAAGAAGAAAATTGTCACCTATGATCAATGCTGAGGTAGTAAAATAAAGTTATGGTTCAGGTAGCAGATTTGGAATATCTTATCTTAATAAGATGGGAGGTACCTTTGAGAACTTTCACAAAAATTGACTGCACAAAAAATAACAATTCTACAGTCATCTTTTTATAATTAAATAATCATTGCTTGAGCATGTTACAAAAATAATTCATTATTTTGAATCAAGGAATCGAGAGAAATGTGACCAGGAGGTTAACAACCTACCCGACTTTGTGGAACTTGATAACTTCACTACTGGCTAATGAAGACACCGAGCCCTGCTTCTTTAACAGCTTAGCTGCCTTCTCTCGGGCTAAATCTCGGTCTGTCATCTTGATACTAGTCTCCTCTTATAGTCTAATCTGAAAAAATTTAAAATGACCCAATTGACCCAAAGATAAAGAAAAATCTCTTCTGTCTTGCCAATGTCTAATGGAAGTCCAGACTTCCTAACATTTGGAAACAGTTCCAATCCTGTATTCAGTTATACAACAGTAACGCCAAGTCTTCTCAAATATTTGTACTAAGTCTACTAACAGAACTCTGTCTGTTCACTGACAAGACTTAGCATTTAAAACCATTAGCTAAAATTAGTAATGCAATTTGTCATATGAAGTACTCTTATTACTGGTGAAAGGAAACCCCATTAAGATTCCCATAACAGTAATTGTCAGCAGATAATACCCTCCAATAATATACACAGCATGCAATGTCTAGCTGATCAACTGCTGAACGAGCTGTCAAAGTAATGAAACGCAAAACCCTATTCAATGAATATGAACCATTTTTTAAAGTCAATATTGAACCTAACCTTATTGATCTATTGCATTTCTTATCATTTGTAAAGGTTGCAAGTAATTGTGAAGTGGTTTACACAAAAGCTCTGGTTTTTAATATGTTGACATGTTTTGGGCATACCTATTTGAAGTTCACCGTGTGCCAAGCAGTAAAATTTCGATAGAAAACTCAACTTGAGTCTTTTGGCAATTTAATAATGTAATTACAGTTTAAATGCATGCAGCATTATAGAAATTAACATAACTCTACAAAATAGTCTTTGTTTGCAACCATATCCTGGTAGATAACACTCTACTGGCACAGCAGGGGGGATATTGAAATAAAACAATGTATGTGGTGTTTAGTTAGTCTACTCTGTATTTCTTGCTTTAATAGAAAATCAATTTTCAACCCAAACAAAACTGTGTTACAGAAATTTATCTCAAATGTTAGTGCTAGCTATTATTGATGACAAAAAAAACCCAACATATTTCTACATGTTCTATAGAGCAAATTTGGTTGATCTATGTTTGATATATTCAAAATGCATGCAGTATGCGAATGAAAGATAATGATCAATTGTTTATTTTTAAACACCTTTCAGATGGAAAAAGATATACTTTGACATATTTTAAGAACAATGGGATCTGATCTGATCCCTGAATATTGTCATAATCCTATTTCAATCAACACCAGTATGATTAGACTTCATGAACATGTAGAAATAAAGAAGAGTTAATTCAGGTGTAACAAAGTGACTGATCTCTATTTTATGGTTCACTATATTATTTACATTTAATACGAAATATACCAGAGTCACTCTCTGTGGACTGGGGAAGCAACTAAATAAGGGCTTAAATATATGTAACATTACAATAACTGCTACACTGCAAAAAATTACTTTTTAATAGATGTAAATAAAATTTTGCAATATTCTGAATATAGAGTTAATCTTTTCCATAACATTATATGGCTTATCAATATCTAATTTATACAGACTTAGATACACATGTAATAGCATAGACTTATTCTACTTTTAATTCAATCTTAATGTTTAATGCACAGTTAAAATGGACATTAGTTTCTTCTGGTGTAAGCAAATCTAATGTGGAAAATATAAATCAATTTTCTATAATTATTGTCTATATGCAAAATCATACATTAATACTCTTTTGAAAGAAAGATTAAATTTCAAATACCTAAAAAATATAAAAATACAATGGAGACTTTATAAGGGAATGCTGGACAACTGAATGCACCTTAGAAAAGTCGAGTTGTCCTGATTCTTACTCAAGTGCTTAATTAAAAATCCAGCTAAACTGAACCATAAAATGTGTTATGTTAATTATAAACATTCATTTAATGTTCTACTTATATCCAAATAACACTAAAGCCTCCATGAGGAAACTGACAACTGAAAAATATTAAATCATTCTTATTTTTTGAATAAAAAACTTAAATGATTAAATAAGAGCTTAGATGAGACTATGCCAGTGGCTGACTGTAATACACTGGATCAGGTTGAGATCATCAGGAGAATCAAATTAACATTATTAAATCATAATTTGATTAAAATTTTAATGTTAAAAATCTATTATACAACATACAAATCACTAAGTTAAATTTGTGATTGCTTTAATTATATACATTTTGGAAAAAGTTTTTCATTTGAAAATGTTGAGACTGAACTTTTCATTACGTGTTTATAGATAAACTTGCCTCTCCCTCTGTAGAACTTCAATTGAAAACTAAATCCTAACTGGCCTAAGCTATACTAACATTCCAATCTACTACACAAAATTTTCCAATGTTTTTCAAATTACCAGAACCATCATATATGTAGATGGACCAAAGGATATAAGCTATATTATTTGAACAAACCTTAAAATGACAAGATGACAACAATCCACACTCAAAATTTCAAGCTTCCCCCTACAGTTGCCAAGTGAACAAGATGCTAAATTTAGAGAGCCAACAGGAGAAATGTCATTTCCGAACAGGTGCCCGTTCACTATAAAGTAAGAAAATATTTTTTCTTCTTCTGTTTTATGAAGTATGAATAACAAAGAATTATCATAAATAAAAATAAATAAACTAATATTTGTATTAATTTTCGCAAACTCTGCAAGAAAATGATTTATAGTAAATTATATAGGGTTCATTAAATCCCTTTCGGTTCTAAAATCTGAGGAAACCCCCTTTTCGTTTAATTGTGTAACGGATAGAAAACCGTTATTTATTGGACAGGAGATTCCCATTTAAGCCAATGAAATTTAGTCTTTCATTTAACCTGAAAGAAATGAAAATATGGCTACCGAAACTTGACGTTGTGGCAGAAGAAAGTATATATTTGAAAATAACGCGATGTATTTTCCGTTAGGATGGCCAAAATACTTGAAAAGCCTTCAGAAAGGTTCAAGGCCATTGCAGTATGTGATAAGTAGCTGTGATCGAATGCTTTTTGCTGTCATTACAGAGGATACGCTCAGTATTTGGTACAGTAAGGTAAAATGAAATAATTTAAAAATTTGGGAAAATGCTGTCTTTTTGTTGTAGATAGTCTTAAGAAATGACAAGAAGATTGATAAATGAAACCAAGTCAGTGGCATTTTCTTTCATAAATTCTTAGACTGATAGTCTTCAAGGAATATATACAGAAAACGCAGAAAGTGTACAGTAAGACTAAGAATCGTGCTACATGTACCATCACTGACTAATTACATTAGATGAATACTTCACTTTTGAGTTGATAAGTAACCATACAGGTAGTTTTCATTTTTATTGACTTTTTTTATGTGTAAAAATAGAATTAGAGAGAGAAAAGTCTTTTAATGGACAATCTAATCCAATTTCTGGCATGGAAGTTACAGGTTCACATGAATGTCTCGACAATACACTGTGTCGAAATTTTTCAAAGTGCAAACATCAGCACTTTAAACTTTCAGAAATCTTGAGCTGAATATTCTAGTCATTAAATTCCACCAATTTCAAATTTCTTTATTGCACTTGCACTCTTAGAAAACTTCAAAGCAGAAAATGTTGATGCAAAGTATTGTGGAGGGATTTGATTATTTTTTGGAATACATAACCTTTTTTTAGTTACATCATATAAAATATTTTCTTTACATTATGATAAATGTCTTAATTTCAGAATAGCATAATTCCCTTTATGATGTGCTTTTTAACAACATAATTTTAAACAATAGTTAAGTACTGTGATTTGTTAAAAATGATAATTTACAATTGGTCATCTCTGTCAGAGACAGTTGATAGATGTAAGACCACCACTTCTTTGGAAGACAACAATGAACATTATTCTATAAATAATATGCAGTGTGCGAAACTAACCAGGAGAGTGAAATAGCTCATTGGGCTATCTCATTTTAAATTGGGATAGACTGTAGACAAATGGGACTGTCCACAAAAAGTAAAGATGAAAAATGTTCACTTGTTTTAATTCATATATATTTTTTACTTTGTTCATATTCATATTGAAGTATCTATTACATTTTCATTATTACCTTGTGAAAATAAAATATATAATCGGTGTTCGTGAATATCGCAAAAATCTGTACCGTGTATATATTTAGATTCACTGTATATGAAGTTCACTCTGCAGACCAGTTTGTGTTTGTGAGAGACACGAACTTTAATATCATCTTCGTAGTTTTCCCTTTTATTAGGGCTGGGACGATACAACTTTTTCTATATCGATATGTATCACGATATTTGAGCCACGATACGATATGTATCACGATATGTGTAATTGGTTATAAAATCTTTTTTGGCATTGAAATAAACAAAATATTTCTTTGCAAAAAAAATAATTTATTCAAAATAGTTTTTTATATGTTGTAAAACAAAAATATTTTACTCAAGTGGTGTTAATTATTATTTATTTCATATCTATATTTATATTTTGCTTATTTATTTTATATATTAAACCCCTGGCCAAATGTTAAATAAACAGAGAAAAACAGCAGTCAGAATTTTTTTTGCGATATTTCGATATTTCTTCATATGTATCGATATGCGTATCGTCTTCACAAAGAATCGATATTATCGATATCTCGATATATCGTCCCAGCCCTACCTTTTATGGACTCATTTTCTGTTTTTTTTTTTGTTTTATTCATTTAGTGTTTAACGCAGCGCTTTTAGCAACCAGTGGGTCAGGATTTGCTGCATGATGGATGTGCACAGGAAGCAAGCATTGGATAAAAATAGTACACCGTTTATTTATCGAAAGATGCACAATGTTATGAATGATGAGATTTAACAATAATTCTTTTAACACAAAATATAAAAGTAAAAAACTATTTCTCAGAATTATTTTGTTTTAAATTACCTGTTAAAAATATAAAATGGTCATTTTTGTTCAATCTCAATTTACCCATTGCCAAAATTGGCATGGACAATTCGGTCTATTTCAATTTGGATCGGCGTAGCCCAATTCAACTCGAGGTAGATTTGGACCATCGGACAGGCGTTAATTTCGCACACTGAATATGAGCCTAGGAAAAAAAAATCTTACTGTGGAAAAAATTGTTTACCAAGTCATGTTTGAAACCATTTTGTGCAATTTAGGACAAGCAGTGTGGTATGATGTTAATGAGCATCACATCTGATAAGTTTTGATAATTTTTTTTGTCATACTGCAGGATCTTGCCACTTTAATATTTTTTTTACCTTGTTCCAGTAAACAGTCTTCTAATTTGCATGAAACACCAATTTCTAATTTAAATATTGTAGCTTTAGTACAGGTAAGGCCCAGTGAGGAGTAGCCAAAAATAAAGAGCAATATATCGACTAATGAGAAAATGTTTGAAAGGTGAAGGGGTACTTCCAAGTTTTAACAGCCCCTATAGCTATCAGGGGTCCCTTGAGTGTTACAAACATTTTTTTTGCAAATGGACAGGTCTGTTTGGAAATGGGAATGTAATATGTACATACTTTAACTAAGTGGAAACTGAGTTTATTACACAATTATGGACTCTTTCAGTGGTGAACATGGTTTGATATTCACCAGAAAAATATCAATATTGACCAAGGCGAAGCCTTGACCTTGTGGTTTGACCTAGTTTTCAAAAATTTTAATTTGGCCATTATTTTTGCACCAGAAGAGACAGGACATCTGTATTTTTTCACATGTGCATTACTTATGACAGTACCTTTCCAAATGTACTTTGTTTTTTTTCTTCCTGGCCTAGACCTCCAACTTTGACTTTCAAAAACTTTAATCTTGACTGTAATTTCTTGAAAAATTTAAAACTTTTTCAGCATGTTTGACAGACAACAGTTACAATATGCCATAGATCATTAGGGCTGGGACGATACAACTTTTTCTATATCGATACGTATCCCGATATTTGAGCCACGATACGATACGTATCACGATATGTTTAATTGGTTATAACTTCTTTTTTATATTGAAATGAACAAAACATTTCTTCGCAAATAAGAATAAATTATTCAAAGAAATTGTATATCTGTTGTAAAACTTAATTATTTTGCACAAGTGATCTTAATTATTGTGTATTTCATATTTATATTTAAATTAAGCATATTTATTTTAGATATTAAACCCAAAATGTTAAGTAAACAAAGAAAAACATGAGTCAGATTTTTTTGGGCGATATGTCGATATTTCTTCATACGTATCGATATGCGTATCATCCTCACATTGAATCGATATTATCGATATCTCGATATATCGTCCCAGCCCTATAGATCATCATGATCATTGCACCACAACCAATATGATCCAGAAAATGGGACCACAATCCACAGAATTTGCTTGTTATACCCCCTGTACATAAAGTTGGACCAGAATATACAGCCATCAGTATCTTTAGATCTGAAAAATGCCTCTTCCTGTGTGTGAGAGTCACGCAAAATAAAACTGCATTAAGAGTAAAATAATACAGCCAAAGTATATTGTGACAAATCATGATATACTGAGATTGTATCATGATATGTATCATAATATTTCATTTTGGTAATTTTTAAAATTATTTGTTTGTAAATTCTAAAGTGAGAAAGTTTTAGATTATTTCATTGAGGACACAAATACATTATCTAGTAGGGCATAGTATCGATTGAGGACACAAATACATTATCTAGTAGGGCATAGTATCGATTGAGGACACAAATACATTATCTAATATGGCATAGTATCGATTGAGGACACAAATACATTATCTAGTAGGACATAGTATCGATTGAGGACACAAATACATTATCTAGTAGGGCATAGTATCGATTGCATCCAGGAACTTTTTTTTCCCTCAAACTTAAGTAAAATTTCCCAAATGACAAGCAGATTGAATTTTTGAGTGCATTTTTATATATTAAAAAAAAAAAAACTTGAATTTTGAGATTATAAATAAATCATTAAGAAGTGAATAGGGAACAAAACCTAAATTTAACTCTTTATTCTACAGTAAAACATAATATAAGTCATCAGTATTTCCAAATTTTGCCACTTATTCAATAAAAACTCTCCACTCAGAAAGGTACAGGACCCTGTACCAAAAATGCTCAATTCAGCCCTTTTTAATATTAAAAAAAACCCAGAATGAGTAAATAAAGAAAATCACTTTAATTAGGCTAAACTAAAGAGACAACATATGTTAAATCATCTTCTCTAGCCAAGTGTTTCCGATCCAAAATCTACTTTTTGATGTACTTGAAGTTGATATTACTTAAAGTGTAATACCACTGGCAAATTTAGAAGGTCACCCCCCCCCCCCCCCCAAAAAAAGTGTTCCAAAATTAGTTTACATGTGTATATAAATATATAGAAAAAACTGTCATTATATTAAAATGTGCATATCAAAATATGCTGAAATGAATAAATTTATATAATACAAGATTTGGCATTCTTGTAAAAGCAGCTTGAAATACAGACCTGCTGTCAGTTTCTTGATACCAACAAATTCTTAAAACAACATTTTTTATGCCCCGTCGCGAATATGGCCGGGGCATATAGAGTTTGTCATGTCCGTCTTCCGTCCTTCCGTCTCCCTTTGAGTTTGGCTCAATTTCAAAGAAACTATGCAAGATATTTTTATCAAACTTCATATGCTGATAAATATTGATGAGAGCTATTCAACTGCATCAACATTTTTTGACTTTGACCTTGACCTCACTTTTCTTAAATAAGTGTTTAGCTCAGTTTTAAATAAACCATTTAAGATATTTTCTATATCAAACATCATATGCTGATACATACTGATGAGAGCTATCTACTGCATCAACATTTTTTGACCTTGACTTTTCCTTTGACCTTGACCTCACCTTTCTTAAATTAGTGTTTAGCTCAGTTTTAAATGAACCATTTAGGATAGTGTTATCAAACTTCATATGCTGATGCATACTGATTGTAAGCTTTTCAACTGTGTCAACATTTTTTGACCTTGACCTTTCCTTTGACCTTGACCTCCTTTTTAAAAAAAATAGTGTTTTGCTCAGTTTTAAATAAACTATTCAAGATATTTTTTTATCAAACTTCATATGCTGATATGTATTAGTGAGAGCTATTCAACTGCATCAAACTTTTGACCTTGCATTTTCCTGTGACCTTGACCTCTTTTTTCTTTAATTTGCACTTTGCTTAGTGTTCAAGAAACTATTTAAGACATTTTATGTAAGCTTTTGCACTTATACATAATTTGCTGAGAATTTATCATCTATATCCAATTTTTAAGATATTCTCATCAAACTTCATACACTAATACACATTTTCTTGTTGCATTACTAATATACTCTCGGCAGGGCATTCATGTCCTATGGACATATTTCTATTTTTTTTAACTAAAGATGTTACTTAACTTTTCTCAGAAATTCTTTTAAATTCCTTCATGAACCTCTGAAAGTGAAGAAGAATGATTTTGTTTACAGGTAAAAAATGGCGAGAGTGGATCAGCATGAATTGAATGCCCTTCTCTTCCATGGCTGATGAAGGCAATTTAAAGAATTTATTAGAAAATTAAATGATAACATCAGTAGTGAAATGTCATAAAAATTTTTGGCATAAAATACTTTGGATAAGCCTTATAGGAAAATAAGTCCAAAAGTAGTGCACATTTAGCTCTATGATCTGCCAATTAATTTTTTTATTGAGTTCTGCAGATAGTTGTAAACATGTTTAGTGTGAACGTTTTTTTTTTTATATTTATAATATATCATAATTAAAATGAAAATAAATATTAAATGTCCGACTAAAATGATGCTCATTATAATTTAAAACATTTTCAATGTCACAGTTTCACATAGTTTTATGAAATTCAAAGTTACATGACTATTTTTTTTTTGTTGTCTTCAACATGTGCTCTGAAAATTCTATCTTGACTCAGAAATCATGGAATTTTTTTGGCTAATATTTTGTAAAAGTCTTTTGCAAATCTATTGATTATTACAAAAATGTGAAGATATGCATTGAGGCGAGAGACATGACCACACAAAATAAAAGAAGGGGGAGGGGTGTTTCACTCAAATCCAAGAAATATATGTAGATGGACTCCAATCACAGCTCAATGATGAGCAAATAAGTTTGGCTATTAAGAAAAAAGAAATTTTCTGAGGAGAAATTTTGCATGATTTGATTACAGATATTAAAATGTGTTTGAAGAAGGAGGTGTAACTACACCTATGAAGTCTGATAATGTTAAATTTTTGTCTTAAAATTACCCGGGACCTTAAATTGGTGATTCCAAGACCCCATACCTCTGGAAAAAGAATCCCCCCAACCAAAATTCCTGGATCCACCCCTGTATACAACATGATACACAGGTATACTGTTTCTGTACCACAATAGTGTACAATTTTTTTTTTGTGGATTGTGCTATACCAGGAAATTGGTATATCGTTACACTCCTACTTTCAACAACAGAACTTTTGACATTTTTGCCTATCAAGTAGACTGCAGATTTGAAAATGACACTGATAAATTTTAAACTATTGTATTTTTTTATGTGCATCTAGGCAAAAGTAGGCAAAGGATAATATTCCGATATAAAGTCTATTAATATGTTGGTTGTTAAATATTCTAATATTGATGGGCAAATTGCCTTTTATGTTTTCTTTGTTATAATTTTTTATGTGGTCACATTCAGAGGAAGTATAGTTTATTACAAAGTTATTTTCCTTTGTAATGTGGACTCTGCCCCTCTGCACAATACATAAATGATTAAAGTATCCACTCAATTGGGTTATAAAGCATGCAATGTAAACAGATTATATGCACAGTACATTAAACATTATTAGTATTTATTTACATGGTAATGTCAACATTTATTAATGGAGATAATATTACTTAACTATTAATGGTGCAATAAGAAAGCAAGTGTTACCAATTTTGATATAAAAATATATAAAAAGTAAAAGTTCACCAAGAGTAGGAAGTTTATAATTGTGTATTTTGTGCCAGTTTGGTATTTTGAGCTACTGTAATTAATAGCATAAATTACTTGGGTCACTGCAGGTTTCCTTTTTGCTGAGAACTAATTCTACTTAATCATACTTAGAATTAGGTGATAAATGAGAGATTTCAAGTTAAAAAAAAAAGTCAGAAGTTTAGTGTAATTATTCAAGAATTTCTGTGAATTGACAAAATCTGGCAAAATGTAGGATATTTTTTTTGTGAAATGTACCAGATCACTCGTAGTGCCTGAGGCATTGTTAATTTGCTATTTATACATCTGAAGACAATACAGTTATGCCAAAACAAGATATAAAATTATACATTAACCTGCATTTATGATGCGCTATGTAAAATATAACAGGTTTATGCCTTGTTAGTTTCTGATTACAATAAAACATAATCTATGTATAAGTCTTCTCCCTCTTTAACATGTTTAATTTGTTGTTTATATGAAAACATTGTTTTCAGGAATTTAGATAAAATAAAACAGTAAGGACTAAATGTGTCATGTCAGTATAGAAAGATCTATCATTTCTTTGACTTATAATTCATTCTCTTCAGATCTTTTTATGCCCCCATGATAAAAAATTAAGGGACATCCAATATTTGGTCTCTCCATCTGTCTGTCTGTTTGCAAAATCTTTAACCTTGCCCATAACTTTTGATTAGTTGGAGCTTAATTATTTCACACTTGTATTTCTTTTAACAAGATTTCTTTGTGTACCAATATTTGTGACCTTTTGACCTTGGAGTTTGATCTACTTTTGAAAAACATTAACCTTGGTCATAACTATTGGTTGGTATTTTACTTGTATATTACTTATTACAAGATCTTCCTTTGGGAATCAACATTTTTACATTTTAATGCTGACCTTGGAGATTGACCTACTTTTGAAAAAAAATTAGCCTTGGCAATAACTTATGATTGGTTGGTGCTAGGGCTTTCTTATTTCACATGTGTATTACATGAGATACAGCCTTCCCTTGGGTACCAACACTTCTACCTCATGATCTTGACCTAGGAGTTTGACCTACTTTGAAAAAAAAACTTTACCTTGGCCACAGCTTTAGAAAAGTTGGTGCTAGGACTTTCATATTTCACATGTGTAATTCTTGTGACAAGACCTTTCTTTGCATGCCAACATTTTTTTACCTCATGAACTTGACCTTGGAGTTGACCTACTTTTGAAAAACTTAATATCTGAATGGTTTCTCTATGGGGTTTCATATAATGTTTATTCCTTGCAATAAGACCTTTCTTTGGATACCAGTATTTTTGACCTCTTGACCTTGACCTGCATTTGAGAAACTCTAACCTTGGCAATGAGCTGTGTACAGTGGCATCAGTGTTTCACAAACTTATCTTGTTTTTTCTTACTTTGAAAACTTAATTCTCTTTGTATATATTTAGTTCCTACTTAAATTCATTGGTTGAATATTGTATGATTTTCTTTTCAGCCTTCTGTCCAGATCGTTAGTTACACTCATCCTTATACTGAGATCTGTTCTATTGGGACGTTTAATCTGGTGGAATGGAAGCCAGATTCCTCTATGATAGCAGTTCTGGTAAGTTAGGGATGGTTTTGGGATGTTTAATCTGGTGGAATGGAAGCCAGATTCCTCTATGATAGCAGTTCTGGTAAGTTAGGGATGGTTTTGGGATGTTTAATCTGGTGGAATGGAAGCCAGATTCCTCTATGATAGCAGTTCTGGTAAGTTAGGGATGGTTCTGGGATGTTTAATCTGGTGGAATGGAAGCCAGATTCCTCTATGATAGCTGTTCTGGTAAGTTAGGGATGGTTTTGGGATGCTTAATCTGGTGGAATGGAAGCCAGATTCCTCTATGATAGCTGTTCTGGTAAGTTAGGGGTGGTTCTGGGACGTTTAATCTGGTGGAATGGAAGCCAGACTCCTCTATGATAGCAGTTCTGGTAAGTTAGGGATGGTTTTGGGATGTTTAATCTGGTGGAATGGAAGCCAGACTCCTCTATGATAGCAGTTCTGGTAAGTTAGGGGTGGTTCTGCGATGTTCAATCTGGTGGAATGGAAGCCAGACTCCTCTATGATAGCAGTTCTGGTAAGTTAGGGGTGGTTCTGGGACGTTTAATCTGGTGGAATGGAAGCCAGATTGATCTATGATTTCTGTTTAAGATGTTAGAGGTGGTTCACTCCATGTCAAGGAAAAGCAAAGTTTATGAAGTATTTGGTGTATGGGGTTGTAACAAAATTGGGTTCAACTAGGGATACAGAAAAGTAGATCCGTAAAACCAATTAACATCTTTCAAATTTAAAACAAGGAAAGAAATAGTTCCCTTTTTAAAACAAAAAAGTGAGTGTTTTGCCTTATTACGTCAAATAGACCACAAGAAAAAAAAAACAGTTCACAAGAAGAGTTTTTCCCTAAATGGTTTACAATTTGACACTTAACCTATATTGTCATCACAAAGGTCAACAGGTCGACAGTTGACACCTAATTGATAAACTCTTAGCCCTCAAAATAAAGGTCAACAGGTCGACATCAAATTGCTAAATCTTATCCATCACAACAAAGGTCGACAGGTGACACCCAATTGAGATACTATTTTCACTTAAAACAAAGGTCGACAAGTCAACAGTTGATACCTGTTCGGTTTCCTTTATAGCTCAAAACAAAAGTGGACAGGTCAAAAATTGACTACCTCTCAGTATTCCTTTTACCCTGATAACATCCTCTCGAATAATTAAGCTTTGTTTTGCGCAAACAAACACAAGGCATTAGGGTTAGTCTTCTAAAACCACTCGATTGATCGATCCCACCGAGATTAGGGTTAATCCTGAGATATTAGGGTTAGTCCTTGAACCCACCCGAGAGATAAGGGTTAGTGCTCAAACCCACTGGAGATAATAATCCGTCGACCTGTCAACCCATCGACTCGTGGACCTATCAACCCGTCGACCTTTCTTCTTGAATGCATTCTTGAATAGACCTGTCAAGCAAACACTCTGTCTACCTGTCAAGCCGTCGACCTTTCTTCTTGATTACATTCTTGTATAGACCTGTAACAAACAATCTGTCAACCTGTCGACCTGTCAACCCTCAACCTGTCAACCAAACATTCTGTCTACCTGTCGACCTGTCAACCTGTCCACCTGTCAACCTGTCTACATGTCCACAATTTTACCAAAAAGTTCTTACGCTACATAAAATTTCTCCAAATTTCCTCGTAATCTTTAACATTGCACATTAATTCTTCAGCCCTTTGGCGTATGAAAATATTTACTGGTACTACTTATCCATCTACATGTATCCTAGTTGAGCCCTAAATTGTTGCAATAAAACTTACACAGCCTTCATAGACTGCGAGATTACAGTTGTTACTTTTTTGTGTAAAGGTTATTTTAGACTGATTAATAATCCAGAATTCCTGCATCAAACTAATAAAAGTTTGTAGACCAAATCTTACTTGAAAAGAGCTTTATCTTAGCTTATGTCACTTGTTAAATGATGAAATCACAGGGAAGTATGATTTAGTTAAACAAGAGTGCATCTGTATCAAGTTCCCTTTCTCTTAAGAAGTTAAAAAAAATTAAACATATGGATAAATTGCAATTTTTAGGTCAGATGAACTATTCTAACCTGGTAACATATTTTGATTTTAAGATGTTACCTCACAAGGGTCCTAGGGTTGGCACAAATACACTACTACAGGTTTTCACATTTAATCTTGTGGCTTTGTCTAGAAGACTGGGTTAAGTTTACTTTAAAAGTAAGGGTTTAGAGTTTAAAAATATTTTTCTTCACACCTGACCATGCAGTAATCTGATTTAAATCTGATCTTAACACCTCTCTAAAGATGTCAAACTGATTTTAAAATGGTATCTTTTATATAAACTGTAGGGGTAATTCTAATGTAAGTGGGCTATATCCTTTTTACTAAGTTTTTCAATTCAGAAATGGAGTTCAGGACCTGGGATGGCTGTGTAAGATGAATGTAATATGTATGTTTGTCACAGTGATCACAAATAACCATAAGTAGGCCTGCGTATCATGAGGAGAAAAAGATCACATCGCATTAAAATATTTTTGAAAAAATATTGTAATATATTATACACCTTTTTACTGGCTATGAGGACAATAGAAAGTTTATTGTCCCCCAAGACAGCAACTATTTCCCCAGGCATGGCAAAGGGAAATGGTTGCTGTTGAGGGGGGCATTAACTTGCTATGGTCCTCATAGCCAGTAAATATGTGTTTTACTATACTGAAGCAGACTTCATGTATTGAACTTTGAATTTTACGTTCAGACAAAATCAGAAAAGTTCCGATATAAACGCTAGGGAAATCGAATGCTGTGGGTGAATAGGTTTGACAACAATTTCACCATGAGCCAAAAAGCACAAAAAATATTTCATTGTAGAGGCTGTTTAGATATTTATCATGGTTTTATATAGAAGAAATACACATACCAGTAGGTATAATAAAATGATAGCTTCTTCCACATAATTTTTTGGATTTTTTAGAAGGAAAATAATTATTTTCAGCTTTTCTTTTTTTATCAACAAAAATGTAATTGAATTACTATAATAGTCTTTAATATTTTCTTTCTAAAACGAAGATTACAATAAATATTACAATTTTCTCTTTAATTTTTAAACTGAAAAAGAAATTGAATACCCTTCTCTTTTGGATAATGAACAAGTTCCAAATTGTTGTTTACACAAAAACTATAAGTTTTTTTTATCAAAATGTGTACTGGTACATTATATTCCTCCCAAAAGTATTGTAAAACATCAATACTTCATTTTATGTTATGCTGTATCATATCCACCTCCTCTGTATTATAATACATTGTATTGTTACGCTGCTAACCTCCTGTGTATTATAATACATTGTATTGTTACACCACTAACCATAGGTCTATTGTGTCTTTTGTCTGCTCTCTACAATGGGGAAAAAAGTAGGATTGCACAAAGCTATAGTGTGGTTTACTCTTACCAGTGTATTATTTTACAATGGTTTAAAACTCTTGATTAATTAAAACATTTCTTTAATCACAGATTGGTGTTTCTGTATGATATCGAAGATCACAGACTTCCTTGAAATAACTCAATTTTATACTGCTTAGGTGTTTGTGGATCATGAATTGTTTTTGTTTTATTTTTCCAGACATCCAAACTTAACATTTTATTCTTCAAAGTTGAACTTGATGTATCTGTGCCAAACCACCACTGTTTATATGTTCAGCATGAGGGAAAGTAAGTAATGAAGTGAATTTCTTGGCAGGAAAATTTTGCAAACCTTTTTTTCAGCTGATCTCAGAAGGCATTTGAATGATAAGGTTGTATAAAACTCTTAAAGAAGAATTGTTACATTTTATAGAAATCAGACTCCAAAGAGGGACATCAATGGTATTCCGGACAGTGACAGTATACCAGCCATTAAGGTCACTCTGGTGGCCAGAATGCAGCTCCCTGCTAACATCTCCTGGTCAGTAAGACATAGCATCTGTTAGATACATCACTTCAATAAACTGAAATGTCACTTTATATTCTCCTCAAGTTTTTCTTGTTTATGATTAAGAATATTGACATAATCATTATGCATGATGTTCAGTATTAATTCATGATTTACAGATCACCTGAGCTGAAAGCTCCAATGAGCTTTTCTGATCACCCGTTGTCTGTCGTCCGTTCCTCTGTAAACTTTTCACATTTTCAACTTCTTCTCAAGAACCACTGGGCAATTTTAACTAAACTTGGTACAAAGTATCCTTGGGTGAAGGGGAGTTTAAATTGTTAAAAGAAAGGGCCAAGTCCCCTTACAAGGTGAGATAATCAAGAAAAGACAAAAAAAGGGTGGGGTCATTAAAAAATCTTCTGGTAAAGAACCACTTGGCCAAAAAAGCTGAAACTTATGTGGAAGCATCCTGGGATAGTGTAGATTGTAAATTGCTCAAATCATGACCCCCGGGGGTAGGGTGGGGACACAATAGGGAATCCAATTTTTACATTGAAATACATAGGAAAAATCTTTAAAAATCTTCTCAAGAACCACTGGACCAGAAAAGCTGAAACTAATGTGGAAGCATCCTGGGGTAGTGTAGATTCCAATTGTTCAAATCATGACCCCCGGCAGTAGGGTGGGGCCACAATAGGTATTACAAGGGGGGAAATCTGGTAAAGAACAGCATGGCCAAAGTTACTCAGGTGAGCAATGTGGCCCATGGGCCTTTGTTAAAAGTTAGCAGAGGTTTGATTTAGTACTTTTTGAATGTGGTAGATATTAATATGGTTTATATACACAAGACATTTAGTGATGTACTTATTTAGCAGAAGCTGCCTTAATTCCAAAGGCGCTAGATAGATACACCACCAAATGTAATGTGTTTAATCAGCATTGAATACAAGTAACATTAAAATGAAAAGTATATTTGAGGAATTGATAGAAATAAACCATCAATATCAACATTTACATTGTGGAGAATACAAATTTCTCCTCCTTCCTTACAGCTGTTTGTGTGTGAGAGAAGAAATAATGGTAGCTACAGAAGATGGGAGTTTACACCGCATCAAATGGAATGCTTCACTCAATAAAAAGGCTTCATTTCATATACAGGGATTTCCTGCATCACTGGACTTTCATCAAACAAAAGGTACTACAGTACACAATAACCATGTTATAAAGTAGACAATCACAACTTTAATGGCTTTTGCTTAAATCTTATCAGTTACAGTGTATTATTATTTGTGTTTCCCTTTTAGCTTCTAGACTAGTGAGAGAAGATGGCTGTGTTCAACAGATGGAGTACAGTCCTATCATAGGTGGATACACTCTGGTGCTGTCTAGTGGAAAAGCACTGTTTGTCATTCCACCTTCCACAAAGGCAGAAAACAGTGTAAGTAAATCAGCTGTTATTTTTCCTCAGACTTAAATATTCCACTTTCATCTTAATTTCTGTGTCCGACAGGTGAGATTTATATCTGACAATATGACTTGTATATAACCCTCTCAATATTTTGATCATCAGTTTTTGTATATGTCTTACATTATGGTCTTTGAGAAAATAAATCACTTCTTAGGTTTGTTATTGTCTCAGTGTAAGTATTGGGTTGATCAATCCCTTTAGACGGCTTGGCTATTATCCATGGTCTGTGAGATTTCTCAACCCAATATACATGTACTGTACACATGGTTATTTCTACGTAATTTCACTTGCAAATGATTTTGCCCTATTTTAAATTTGTCTAGACAGAATTGTTTTGTCTTCCTTGAATTTGACCATTAGGGAGAAAGGGTGAAAATACAAAAGGAGTAAACATTTCCTCATATAAAGTATTTTGGTAGACAAGTCAGTAACAATCCTAATAAGTAATGCATGTTTTATACCACATTTATGTGATGCAATAACTTGATGCATTATCACATACAGACTTTGCTTAATACGAGAAAGATGGTTGAAGAAAGACATATATAAAAAGTGGAATGACTTGATAAAAGGTTCAAATTATTGCTTGGATATTTTTTAAACATGCATACTTCTTATGTACTATATGAATAGAGGATTATTAGGGAAAAATGCATAAAGAGTTTTGGTTGACTGGGTCAGATGTCATAACCAGTGTTGAAGATTATTGGCACTTGCAAAGACCATTAATATGAAATAACTTGAAAATATTTTAACCTAGAGACCTGATATATCGTAAATATGTAGATTTTTAGAGAGATAACACCTGCAGTTAGATAATTGATTTCGGTAAAGCTTTAGGTAAAAAAAAATCAAAAGGCAAGATTACTGATGAAACCATTGTGATATGTTTAGACTTCAGATTTTATGTTTACTATATAGTTTGTAAGAGGAAGACATATATAGATTTTGATGTCAGTTGAACAAGAGTCAATGACAGAGTGTCAATACTTTTTATATGATCATTTTTCTCATTTATGTGATGCAACTACTCTCTGATTTATTATCTGTATTTTTGCTACATTGATAAACAAAGTAAAGAGGAAGATATTTTAGGTTTTGAGGTTATATAGTCAAAGGTCAAGGTCAGTGGTATTTATTTCCCATTGAATATGCTCTTAAGTGATACAAAAAATTGAATATACATGTATTTAATCTACACATATGTTTCAGGGGTTTAAGAATATTGTGGTCCAAAGTCCGGGGCCTAAGGTTATGGGACAGACTACCTAATTATCACCCTCTTATAGTCTGTCAGACCAAAAATTGCTAGGAAAGAATGCTGTAGGTTTTGATGACAGGTGGAGGTTGAAAGGTCAAGATCATTGAAATAAGCTTCCTTTGTTTATTTAGTTTTCTGTTATTGTTACTATTTTATCCATGCCTACCCTAGACGTGAGTCATATATCTGTAACATTTGTCTAGCTTCTTTGTCCTAGAGTGTGACATTGAAATGTTGCCTGACTTGTCTGATTAACCATTATAGCGAGCGCAGCGAGCGGCGCGAAGTGCCGCTCGTCACTGCGAGCTCTTAAAGCAACGCCTGGGCGAAGAGAAAATTCGTTCTTTGCACATTGATCCAAATAAATTTTTTTCCGCAGTTACCTGTGGTCCCATAATGCTTAGCGAATTCCAACTCGACGCAAATTACGTTCTCGCGGTAGCAAAAAAATTTCAACAATAAAATAAAATCACCTTGATTTAATGGATATATAGCAAATAAATAATAGATTAAACGTTGTTGATTAAAATTAGCACTGATTAGACTCTGTTTTGGTAATGCAGCATACATACGACGTCATATGACGTCAGAGTCTAGACGTAGCAAATATCACGTGCGGTTTGACGAGCCCGATCTAAAGTAAAACTGAAATGTTTCTGCGCTCGCCCTAACGGTCGCACCGTCAACATATTATGGATAGATTCATAAGAGGTATTATCCATCAGGAACTGTTAACCTAAGGCTTTTCCCAGATGTGCATGTGATATTTCCTGTTTCCTGTAGCTATAACTGTTTTTTTCTGTGTCAGTGCCAATGCAGATACAGTGTCAGTGTTTTTAAAGTCAAATAAAGAACATCTATAAGTACTATACTACACAGGAAAGATGATGGAATTTCTCTTTAATATCATAACAGGTTTTACTTAATATGGTATTTAGAGATAATTCTCCAATGGAATAATAACAAATGAATTGTGAAGGAAGAGACTAGTCATCACCTTTATCACTATAATTTTGAAACAGAGAGGGTATTTGTGAATGTCATTATGTTGGATCTGATTCATTTGGTCAATGATTTATAGGTGCCACAAGGGGTCTGGGTGACGGGGCTCACAGATGCTACCTGCGTGGCTGTCAATCACAGGTACCGCCTGATGGCCTTTGGATGCAAAAGGTAAAATTCTGTTATCTCTCTAGTCCTCATTCCTTTTTTTTATCTAGGAAGTTTTCTTTTGTAATTATTCATCTGTAAGCATTTTCCATTTATCACACTATAGGATGAAATTAGAACTATCAGATAAACTGAGTGATGATGCATGGTGTGTTATCTAACAATAAACCTCTGAAGGTGCTATGAGATAATTAGAGGAAATATTGATTTTTATTGCTATTATCAGAATTTTTTATATCATTGTGTTAAAGATAACATTTTTTGCTCAGTACTTCAGAGATAAATGGACCATTAGGGTTTATGACATTTGAAGCTTAAAATCATTTGTCCTAAGGACTGTACTTGTTTGAAAAAATTGATAATAAAGAGCATTTTAAGAGTAAATGTTTCTTTTCAAGTGTCATAATCATATTGTTTTATAAGGCAGTTTCTGATAATAAAGATGTTAATTTGAAATAATCTGTATTGCAGTGGTGTTGGTGCTGTGTATGTGATTAATGAAGTGGAGGGTACAATAGACCTGTCCTACAAACTGCAGGTGTCCAGTAAAGATTATCCAGGTATGATAAGTCTCTAGTATAGACTATCCAGGTATGATAAGTCTCTAGTATAGACTATCCAGGTATGATAAGTCTCTAGTATAGACTATCCAGGTATGATAAGTCTCTAGTAAAGATATTCCAGGTATGATAAGTCTCTCATAAAAACTATCAAGGTATGACAAGTCTCTAGTAAAAATTATCCAGGTATGATAAGCCTCTAGTAAAGATTATCCAGGTATGATAAGTCTCTAGCAAAGACTATCTAGGTATGATATGTTTCTAGTAAAGACTACCCAGGTATAATAAGTCTCTGGTAATGACTACTCAGGAATGATAAGTCTTTAGTAAAGATTATCCAGGTATGACAAGTCTCTAGTAAAGATTATCTAGGTATGATATGTCTCTAGTAAAGATTATCTAGGTATGACACGTCTCTAGTAAAGATTATGAAGGTATGACAAGTCTCTTGTAAAGATTATCCAGGTATGATAAGTCTCTAGTTCTGTAGTAAAGATTATCCAGGTATGACAAGTCTCTAGTAAAGATTATCCAGATATGATAAGTCTCTAGTACTCTAGTCAAGATTATCCAGGTATTGCAAGTCTCTAGTGAAGATTATCCAGGTAGAAGAAGTCTTTAGTAAAGATTATCCATGATGAAATAAATAACACACCTCTAGTATTAAGGTATGCTAACGCTGATGACACATCTCAAACAAAGAGCAAATTTGACAAAACAAATGACATGTTTTAAGCAATGATTACTGATAACAAGACAAAAACAAACAGTAGATTTATAGCAAAGATGATAAAGGTATGATGCAACAAAATTCTGCAGCAAAAATATCAAGGTAGGACAAAACACAAGTTTCTAGCAAGTACTATCCAGGTAAGTCTGAACAAATAACAAGTGTCTTGTAAATATTATCCATGATGACAAATACCACCAGCAATGTTTATCATGGTAAAACTAAACCAGTTAGAAATTTACTGCAAATCATTAATTACAAGCAGTAATTAGAGTTTGTACATAGAATCAAATTCCTAGGTGTAAAATACTGCATACCATGACACCCCAAACTCATAAAAAAAATGTACAGCAAAAATTTATTTACTGGCACAACTAAAAGTCAAAGTATTCAGTTAGAATTATATGTATCAGCACTCATTGCAGATCAATCTACAACATGTGATAAATTGTCATCAATATCTTGAACACAGTTTTAAGTTATTGCAATTGTTTAGATAATCATTTGTTTCCGAACGAGATCTATTGCGATTACTGAATCTAATGTTGTTGCTTATTTTACAGGTTTTGGACACCTGCGAGATCAAATTATTCCATAGACTATGAATTCAATTTATAAATAGACAAAAACCAATAATTGATTTGCAATTTAATCTATATATTCATACTGATCTAAATTTTCACTACATGCAAGGATGCAAAAAAGCTACACATGAATAACTCAAATATCAACACACAGGTAAACGCTAATTATGGGCCACTAAATTCCTATCTTCCTCATTGCTTTCAAAGCAATTCACACTTGTCAATCTGTCCGAAGTCAGTTGACTTTTGAAAATCACTGTCCAGAGTAATGAATATACTTTCATTAAAAAATAATGATTCAGTGTTAGAATTGACTGTCTGGATCTGTGATGTGAATTTCCACCAAATAACATAAGACAAATTGGTCCCTCCCAATAAAGACTATCTTCTATGGACAAAGACTGTCTTCTCTAGACAAAGACTATCTTCCCTGGACAAAGACTGTCGTCTCTAGACAAAGACTATCCTCTTTAGAAAAAGACAATCCTCTCTCTGAATAAAGACCATCTTCTCTGGACAAAGACTATCTTCCCTGGACAAAGACTGTCTTCACTAGACAAAGACTATCCTCTTTAGACAAAGCCAATCCACTCTCTGGACAAAGACTATCTTCTCTGGACAAAGACTATCTTCCCTGGACAAAGACTGTCTTCTCTAGACAAAGACTATCCTCTCTAGACAAAGACTATCCTTTCTCCAGACAAAGACTATCTTCCCTGGACAAAGACTGTCTTCTCAAGACAAAGACTATTCTCTCTAGACAAAGACTATCCTCTCTAGACAAAGACTGTCTTCTCTAGACAAAAACTGTCTTCTCTAGACAAAGACTATCCTCTATAGACAAAGAATATCCTCTCTAGACAAAGACAATCATCTCTAGACAAAGATTACCAGTATCTTTTCTAGACAAAAACTGTCTTCTCCAGACAAAGACTATCCTCTCTAGACAAAGAATATCCTCTCTAGACAAAGACAATCATCTCTAGACATACCATTTCTTTTTCTATAACATATCCAGCTGATAATGCTACATAATGAGTCAAAATCATGTGTTTCTTTTAAGATATTTGTATCATAAATCTAAAGATTTACGAATATGAGTATAGTGAAGATAAGACAAACTCAACTGCACTGTAAAGCAAAAAAAGACTGCAGAATATAAATACCGGAAAATCAAAGGTTGTATCTACTTTGTTATTGTGCATGTCAAGGTCACGTGACTTTTCTTTTTAACGTAAACTTGTAAACAACATTGAATTGGAGCATGCAAAGGTTAGAAAATTCTTGGTCTTCTGACATTCATTTTTTGGTACTTGAGACCATGGTTACTTCTTTAACTTTCCTCTACTTTTTCTATAAGGAGGAAGAAGTGAAGCAATGTTTTCATGTTTGGCCAGATAAACATTATTCTTTTCTCCATAAAAGTAGATTTTTTTAGATTCTGAAACCTGTAATTTTCTGAAACCTAATACTTTCAGGAATTGAACATGCAGAATAGTATTTTTGTCAATTTTCCTGATTGTGCAACTGGTGTCACTTTAAATGATAAATAAGTAGTTCATATTCAGGAACACATGCTTCAGTGATGTAAGTGAAAATAGTTTTATTACCAAGCAATGATATAAGTATAAATCACTTTGATGATAAAAATGCTGAAATTCTTCCTTCTCACAGATGCTGCTCAGAAAGCTGGACCTGTAAAGTGCATGAAATGGACACCAGATGGCACTGCTGTAGCAGTCTGCTGGAAGAATGGGGGCTTCTCTCTGTGGAGTGTATTTGGTGCCCTCCTGCTGTGTTCTCTTGGAGGAGATCGGTAAGTAGACTATCTGAGATAGTTCCTCCCTCCATCCCCCCCCAAAAAATATATACCTGTTTTCTACTGTTAAGTTAATTATTTAAGTGCATTATTAACAAGAGACTGCACATGTATATATGATGTTTATTACTTTCAGATATCCCAGTGATAGCCCAAAACTGTTCCCACCACCTGTGATATCTATGGTAAATTGTCTTCTATACCAAGCCAGCATTCTTTATTTACTATCTTACTTTTAAAATGTCATTTATTGTTTAACATCTGATGTTGTGTGATTTTTAGGAGTGGGGCTTGGAGGGGTATCAATTGTGGATGGTCTGTCAAGAGAACAACATTAATGGAGTGGTGGAAGAGGAGCCACATGATAACACGAATGTCCTTCAGATACAGTTTGTCAAAAGTGCCCTTACTGTTAATCCTTGTGTGGTACATAGCCTGATAGGTTTCTTATTTTGGGAGTTTTGCATATCTTGCAATGCATTCTGTTACAGTTTTTAGAATGCAAAGTGAAAAAAAATATCTATAATGTCATAAGACTTTATTGTAATTAATACAGCATTATGCAATCATTTCAATTGGACTGAACTTATATAATATCACTTTCATTGACCTCAACGTTTTAATTTTTTTACCCAGACAAACCATGACCATGTGTTTTTACAAGGAGAGGATAGGCTGTATATGAATATTGGTGACAGTTGCTCCTCCTCCCAAGGTGGGGCTAGTCAAGAAAACAGCCAATCACTGATGTCCATAGGAAACAAAATCTGGCAAATCATACCCATTTCTCACACCTATCTTGGTGCTAATTGGCCAATCAGAGTATGCTTTCTTTTTAGTAGAAATATGTACATGTATTTTTGAAGTTTTTTTTGTTATTTTTCAATGGAATATGATCTTAAAGATTAGGGCTGGGATGATACAACTTTTTTTTATATCGATACGTATCACGATATTTGAGCCACGATACGATATGTATCTTGATATGTTGAATTGGTTATAAAATGTGTTTTGTATTGAAATGAACGAAACATTTCTTCGCAAATAAGAAAAATTTATTCAAAGAAGTTGAAATCTGTTGCAAAACAAAGTCATTTTACCTAAGTGGTATTAATTATTATGTGTTTCATATTCATATTTATATTTAGCATTTTTATTTTATATATTTGACCCAAAATGTTAAGTAAACAAAGAAAAACGTATAAGTAAGATTTTTTAGCGACATTTCAATATTTCTTCATACGTATCGATATGCGTATCATCCTCACATTGAATCGATATCTCGATATATGGTCCCAGCCCTATTAAAGATATGATATTTATTATATACCCACCAGCACTAAGTATAATATATAATGTAAATGAATATAGTTAGTGTATTAGTTTGATAATACAACATGTCTGCACTATTCTGGATTGTTACTGTACGTAATTTAGTGGTAATCATGTATTAGTACCCTTTGCACTGCTTTCATCTGTTAATTCTAGTACATGCTAATATATGATTTATAAATTAAGTACTTTTAGGGATTGATAGGTCTGGTCAATGTGTTATATAAACCTGACTGGATATTTTAGTTGACCATTCTGCTATGATATTGTAATACCTGTCTACAATATGCAGCAGTTGATAGGTCTGGTCAGTGTGTTATATATATACCTTAGATTTGTTAGTTGACTATTTTGCAATGATTTTGCAATCTCTTGTCTTCAGTATGCAGCAGTTGATAGGTCTGGTCAATGTGTTGCTGTTGCTGGGAAAACAGGACTGGCTCACTATACGTTCTCCACACGCAAGTGGAAACTGTTTGGCAACGAAACACAGGTAAACTAGTATTTTATCGACAGATAGTGAAGGATGTCAAATATTTAATGTTGCACAGTAATTTTTTTTTTTATATTTGTAAGGACTGTCTGTTTTTCTTTTATATTTTTGTCTTATCCATTTACTGAGTAAAATGAATGGAATATTTATTTTTGGTAGGAGAAAGATCTGGTTGTGTCAGGGGGAATGACCTGGTGGAAAGATTTCATCTGTGTGGCTTGTTACAACATCATAGGACAAAGAGATGAGGTACCATATGTTACGTTACCTCTTCAAACATTAGAAGTAAGATTCCAGTACAAACATTACATTTTATCCTCTATGTTTTAGATTCGCTGTTACCCCAAGAACACAAAACTTGACAACACCTTTGCCGTGATTACGAAGGTCCCCTCTCAGATTCTCCTTCTGAACACGTTCCGTGACATCCTCATCATCTTCTGTATCGATTCTCATGTAATGCTGTTCAACATGGAGAGGAAAAATTCTCAAAAAAGTAAAACTTCACAGAAATTGTAAAGATTTCAAAATTAAATGCTAGATAATATAACATTCATAGTAAATGTGGATAAGATTGTAATATTTAATTTTTTTTTTTAATTGAAATTTGCAGAATTTCCTAGACTTTTTGCTAAACTATTATTTCTAGAGATGTGATTTCTTTCTACAGACCCTCTGATGGAGTTAATCAAAGTTCAGGAGGTGGCCCTGGGTAACTACATCCCTCACCCTGTGTGTGTCACAGGACTTGCCCTCACTTCCCTTAGGACAGAAAAGTTTGGTAAGAGCTGTCTCTGATTTTAATCATTCTAGTGTTTAAATCACAAAAATATTTTGCTATTACTAAAATCAGTTTCATTTTTTTCATAACAGGTAGCAGGACAGTGCAACCCAACAGAGATTCAGAGTGCTTGTTGCTCAATGTTGCTGGAAAGTTGCTGATGTTCCAGAGAGATGAGACTGGGCCACAGATCCAGGGGAAACAAAACAAAATTAAACCTGTGAGTGAAGCATGCCATATTTTACTGACAAATGTTGTTGGTATCCGGAAAAGGAATGTTACATGTATGACTGAAGGGACTTTTAAAATTAGTATTGATTTTTTAGGTCTGTTAATATGTAAACTCCTCTCAAATAAATTTGCACAAAGTCAATAAATAGCCAACTTAAACAATTCATTTCATTCCAGCAACCATTTGGTTCCCCTGCTGTGGTTGCCACTAATGTGGAAAACATGTGGTCTACATCTCGGACGAGTCATGGTAAAACACAGCTGATGGAGGCCCTGTGGTTAGGCTGTGGGGCCCAGGGAATGAAGGTCTGGAATATAAATAGTAACTTTGAGGCTCTTTGTGCAAATGCTTTACGATTTCAAACTATTGGTCATTTAAAACTTCTCTTTTTCCAGGTGTGGTTACCTTTATATCCAAGACATGAGGGTAAAACTCACAACTTTATGTCCAAACGCATCATGCTGCCATTCCGGGTAGATATTTATCCTCTAGGTTAGTAGTCATCCACCACTAGATTTCAATATACAATATTGTATACCTAGTCATCCACCACTAGATTTCAATATACAGTATTGTATACCTAGTCATCCACCACTAGATTTCAGTATACAATATTGTATACCTAGTCATCCACCACTAGATTTCAGTATACAATATTATATACCTAGTCATCCACCACTAGATTTCAGTATACAATATTGTATACCTAGTCATCTACCTCAGATTTCAATATACAATATTGTATACCTAGTCATCTACCTCAGATTTCAATATACAATATTGTATACCTAGTCATCCACCACTAGATTTCAGTATACAATATTGTATACCTAGTCATCTACCTTCAGATTTCAATATACAATATTGTTTACTTTGTAAATAGTGATAAGTAGGAAAGAAAAACAACACAAAAGAGATTCTTATATTGAAGCTGAAAAAAATTCCATACATATACTTGTTTTGGATGGATAGATTTTCTTTGTGCACATCAGTTTTGCCATAAACCTATTGGTTTGACAGATGCTATTTTTGTATTTCAGCTGTGTTGTTTGAGGATGCAGTGATATTAGGGGCAGCCAGTGATGGCGTCATGTACAAATCTCCAAGTGAGGACACAAAAAGATCTGTCCAAAATCTTCCCTTCTGTATTATAGAAAGAACTGTAAGTGAAGAGATGAGTAACATATCGGGAATATTAGGGAGTGTAGAGATCAGTAACACATCGGGAATGTTAGGGAGTGTAGAGATCAGTTACATATTAGGAATATACTGGAGTGTAGAGATCAATATTTACATTTGCAAATGTTTTCTTTTATATAACACTATTAAAAGCAACGTGTATCTATATGCGTATAAACACGGGTTCCTCGCGTCATAAACGTTCGACGTAATTTCTCAGTGACGTCATAAAGGGTCGACGCGCAATCATTAGATCAAGCTTGCGCCGTTGAGTTTGAAAAAATAAAACATTTCACGCGTTAAAGATTATAATCAGGCTAATATATGATATGAATAAGTCACAAATGTAAATATAAGTAATAAGGCATCATTTTTAAACATCTATCGGGATATAAATACGGGTTGGTACGAGATCAAATTTACCATAAAGCCCTTCGGGCTTTATGGAATTTGATCTCGTGACCAACCCGTATTTATATCCCGATAGATGTTTAAAAATGATACCTTATTTCTTAAGTAACACATCGGGAATATTAGGGAGTGTAGAGATCGGTAACACATTGGGAATATTAGAGAGTGTAGAGATTAGTAACACATTGGGAATATTAGGGAGTGTAGAGATCAGTAACACATTGGGAATATTAGGGAGTGTAGAGATCAGTAACACATTGGGAATATTAGGGAGTGTAGAGATCAGTAACACATTGGGAATATTAGGGAGTGTAGAGATCAGTAACACATTGGGAATATTAGGGAGTGTAGAGATCAGTAACTCACGGGGAGTATTTCTGAGTGTAGAGATCAGTTGCAAATTGGAGATATTAGGGAGTGTGGAGATTAGTGGAATATTAGGGAGTGTAGAGATTAGTAATACATTGGGAATTTGAATTGAAACCCATGAAATGATTTTTTTTCTTCAAACTTCAAGTATATAAATTGAATGTGATAAAACATGTAGACCACTTATGATGTCTTTCTGAAATTAGGTTCATCACTTTTATCTTAACAATGAATTTGTGGTCATCTAACAATGAATTTATGAACTTCTGATGATCCTGTATTTATACAGGCTTAAATACACATTGCTTAAATAGTGTTATATAAGGAAAAACATTTGAATTAAAAGCTACATGTACAATGTCCACATTTATAGATGCCTGTAATTTATTTGGTAGGCTTTTACTGATTTGTTACAATTCATTTGCCTCATGTTTATGATTTCTTTACAGAGTCAAATATATCTCCACCATATTCTAAGGCAACTTTTAAGGCGGAAGTAAGTCAATTTCTATTCGAAAAGATTATAAATGTCTTAATACTCTGTATGTACTTAAGGTAGTTATGTGCATTGAATGTTCAAATTTTTACAATGATAAGAAATGAGAAATAATCTCTAAGATTTTACGATGGTTATGAGTGTGGAAACGGTATCGATGGTTCCTTTCAGTTTGGGAGTAAATGCCCTGGATTTAGCCCGATGTTGTACAGAGTTATCCTACTTTCCCCATGTTCTGGAGTTGTTACTCCACGAAGTTCTAGAAGCTGAGGCTACTTCCAAGGAACCCATTCCTGGTAAATCTTTGTTTGTTTATATTGGTATTTAGTACACCAAAAATAAATTTTAAACATTATAATTACCACATTTTAACTTTGATCTTAAACTTAACTTTTGAAATGTTTGAGATGTGGTTATTGTTTATTTAAGATCCTTTGTTACCACGGGTTGTGGCCTTCATACAGGAGTTCCCAGAATTCTTACAAACCATTGTACACTGTGCAAGAAAAACAGAGGTGGCATTGTGGCCTCACTTATTTTCTGTGGTTGGAAATCCCAAAGATTTGTTTGAGGTAAAATCTGAAAAAAAAGTTCAAGTATTATCATCTTGGCAAAGGATTTTAATAGGCTCGATTATGAGATAAATAATAATCATAAAAATGTTAAAAGTATCATTGTGATTTAATGTAATAAATGTAGGTGATGATAAGGGTCTTATTTTAGCAATGTATGGTGAGTGAAGAGTTAGAAACGGCAGCGTCATATCTCATCATTCTACAGAATCTGGAGCGACCCATCATCAGTCGACAGGTACAGCATCTGTTTTAACACTGTTGTTTTGATTGCCATGTATTTCTTTTTCTTTATGTGTTTTGAAGCAAGCTAATTATTTAGTATTTCATGTATATAAAGTCTTTATGAAATAAGAATTGGTTTGTTTTGTGCAGCATGCTACCCTGCTACTAGACCAGTCTCTGGAGAGAGGGAAATGGGACTTAGCCAGGGACTTAGTCAGATTCTTAAAAGCAATAGGTATGTTAGACTCAAAATTCCAGAGGACTACTTAAAGCAATAAGTATGTGAGACTCAAAATTCCAGAGGACTACTTAAAGCAATAGGTATGGTAGACTCAAAATTCCAGAGGACTACTTATTCCAGAGGAGTACCAGTAATTGATTACAGTCTTTAAGTTGTCCAGGGGGATTGATAAAAATTTGTGACAGTATAATAAAGGGACTTAGTCGGATTCTTAAAAGCAATAGGTATGTTAGACTCAAAATTCCAGAGGACTAGGAGTAATTGATTACAGTCTTTAAGTTGTCCAGGGGATTGATAAAAATGTGTGACAGTATAACAAAGGGCAAATGTTATTTATTCAACATGCAAAAATTTTAGAGAATGATAAATAAAAAAATGAGTTTAATATTTAGATGAATAAGATTTTATACTTGTATATTAAGAATAAGTTGAAGTTACTTAGATACATCTTAAGTACATGTATGTGCCATGTGTCCAAAGGGCAAGCACATAAATTAGAATATTTTGTGCATTGCGAGCATTAGGGTGAAGCATCATGTAAAGAATTAAAAGCTTCATGAAAACTCAAGGAATTCTTCTCAGAGAAAAAAAAAACTTCAGCAGAGAGGGGGACATCCCCGTAGATGACTAGATTGCCAGGCCTTTGTCCTCAACTTTTTATTTTCAGACAAGTGAACTTACAGGACTAAATTTTGATTTTCATGTTGTTTTATAGATACATATAAGTGTCTGTTTAAACTTAAGGACAGATGATACAAACAAAAAAATGGATGTTTGGATTGGTATATATTTTCTGGCCTATTTCTGTTGTAAATAATGCAAATAATAAATTTGTAAAATATTAAGAAATTGTAAACCTTCTATGATGTTTAAAATTGTACCTTTCAGCAACCAACCTTCATAATCTATGTAAATTTTTGTCACTTCAAATCTCATTTTTGTCAAACTTTGAATGAAAAATTAAAAACTATACGTTTAAACTTTTTCATTTTACTTACATAAACATGATTCAAGTTGTTATTTTCAAATTCATTGACAAAAGTTTGTATCATCTGTCCTTAATATAGAACCTTATAAATTGATTTTATTGTCAGTATTACCTCATGAGCTTATTGATATAGCATGAAGAAGCATTTATGAATATTGTCTACCAATCTAAATTAATTACTTTGTGTTTATTCTAGATCCTCATCTATCTTTCATGTATCTCTCATGAATTCATAATGAAAGACAATCTTCATATCAGGCTCAGTTCCATAAAATTGAGATGAGCTCACTTTTGATCTCATTATTACTTTTCCACAATAAATTCATTTTGTAAAAGTGAGATTGAGAACAGAAGTGAGCTCATCCCAGATCCTGGTCCTCACACCCCTTGTCTTTGTTTTAGATCCTTCAGAGTGTACCACTCCCCCTATTCTGGCCTCGTCTAAGACATCCTCCTCTAAGGCCTACCACTCCGGTGTCCCTAGTCCTCCCATAATGCCATCAGAGGCCGACGGATTCAGCTTCAACACTGTCAGCAATGTCAGTAATGTTAGTAACGTCAACCGAATACGTAGCTCCAGTATGACAGGGGCAGACTACTCGGAAAATGTGCCAAAGGGGAGCAAACCCAAACTCAAGCATACATTCTCTGACAACATATTCAGCAACAAGAAGTAAGTTATGGTGTCTGTTCATAATTAGCCTTTTTGTAGCATTCATTCTGATTGTCAGTATGATTTTCTTATTTTCAAAAGAAATGTTTTAAATTACAGCTTCAAATCACAAGTCATGGAAAAAGAATATAAATACATGTATAATGGTTATTTAAGATTGACAAATCACATTTTTTCAAGATAGTGGTCTTGTTTACAGACTGCCATCAAAGCCAAAAGAGGAGGGGGCTCCTGATCAAATGTATATAGACATGATTCTCTGTCGACATTGTCGAAAACTTCTAGAGACAAATCGGCTGAGGGACATGGGATATTTTAGTGCCAACACCGAGGATTTTCATCTGGTCTCATTTTTAAAAAGAGAGCGGTTTGTATCATCTCTTTATCATGCAGATTCATCAAGTAAGAATATCCACTAGAATAAACCAATTGCCAGTTGACAGAATATGCCTCTGTTTTGAGCAATGGTTCCTCTTTTTTTTTTAGATTAAAAAGTGCAAAAGTTGAGGACTTTGTCAGAGCAGTAAAGGATATTCATCAACAGTTTGAGTGGCCCTTACCGATTCTGTCATACCATGTGTTCCAGCAGCTCAAAAATAAGACTTGTGAGTAACATTTTATGGGGATTTTTCATGATTGTTAACCTGGTGTTGTTATAATTCTGATATCATGGCTTATTTATGTGTTTCATTTTATTTTTCTGTTGATTCATTCTTGATAGTCTCCACCTCGAGCCTGGCTTCTCTGTCTCTGTTAGACGAGGAGAACCTGCCAACAGTCAACGTAGGGGCACACAACAGTGATACCGAGTACCATAAATACCTGGGTACCCTGCAATCCCCCTCCCCACTCAACCTCTCCCAGGCTGTGTCTGATGATGTGGTGTTAAAACCACAGGCTGTCAAAAGTAAGCAAGTCTAGTCCATAGTTAGAAAACTGTAGCAGGCTGTTAAACACTTAATAGTAATGCTATGTGTACATGAAATGGGCTATTACAAATCTTTACCACAAAGAGTTAAATCAAGATTATTTATACATGTATAGTATTGTAAGTTGACATAGATAAAAAAAACCCCTAGGATTATAGGTGATAGTGAGGTTATGTAGACTATATGTACCTGTTGTTACAGCTGAGGAGAGCAGCTTGGCCACTACCCTGGATATCTCGGATTCCAGCTCCCTGCTGGGAGAGCTGGATTACATGACCGAGTCCTCATCCCAGGACACCCTGTCCCCCGAGCTGGAGATTCTGTCACAGGAGATGGCCAATAAAGGACCACGACAGTCAGAGATGGAGCTCAGGTACCACGCTTTAGGGTTGTATACTTACTGGGGCATTGGAATGAAAAGAGAAAGGCTATTTTACATGATTTGTTTTCTTTAGCTTAAATACTGCAGTAAAACAACATGTTTATGGTGAATTCATGCCTACAGTGAAGGGATTTCATTCCCTATAGTTTTTAAGCATGTCATGAAATTAACAGATAATATGAATTATAATACTGTATACAGGGAAATTTTCGCCCCTTTCGCCTTGCTGCTCGTGGGCGAATTCAAAATGGAGCGAATTAAAGAAAGCATAATCTCTTAAGCAAAACTTCGTCTGGGCAAACTTAAAATGGGGCATAATTGTTTGCAAGTGTTAGAAGGCGAAAATAACATAGGCGAAAATAACCCTGTATACGGTACATAATAAATCCAAATCTGTGGTACCTGGCACTTTCCTCTAAGTGTTTTATTGTAGTTTGTATACATACATAAGTTGTGGGAGTGGGGCACTTAACAAAATCTAAGAGTTACACTGTTACTGGAGTCATTTTGAAATTTCTTGATCCAGTGCATTTTAAATTGAAGTATCCTTTGTAGATATTTGTTACAAATCACACTGGAAGCTGGCTGTCTAGAGTGGGCGATGATTATCTCCCTTGTTTTACGTGACGTAGAAGCTGTGGTTAGGACAGTAAACACAGCCAGCATGACAGACACACCCCTGGAGATGGTGGCTAGGATGAGGGAGGGTCTCTCCTATCTAGAACTCTGGGCAGACACAGAGTGGTAAGTTCAAAGTTGTTTGATGCCTCCTTACAGGGTCATATCTTAAGGAGATTGCAGCATCTTTTGACTTGAAAGAATTTAGTGGAGTTCCCTGAAATCACGTTTGGATAGTAAAGTTTGTATGATTGTCTTTGTTTAACTTTGTTACCATTTTGTATGTCATTGTTTTACTTTGTTACCATTTTGTATGTCATTGTTTAACTTTGTTACCATTTTGTATGTCATTGTTTTACTTTGTTACCATATGATGTTAAAATTACAATATTAAAGGAAATACATAAGTAAGTGAAAATGAAGTCAAACAATGTTTTTGTGAATTTCAGTCTGGGATATAAACCATTCCTTCACTTTATAAGGAAGCAGACACAAATGTTAGGTAAGCTGGCAGAACAAACTCCCCCAACATTACAGCTGAGTACTTCTGTCCTTGAGGACCAGAGCAGTGATGGTGAGCAGTTGTCTCCAGTACAACAGACAATACACAGCAAGGACCTAGACAGTTCCCCCGACGGCAGCCCCACACAGGGTGGGGATCCAGCTAAAGGCAGTGAATGTGTGATCTCATGAAACTGACACAGGGAATATAGAAAGGCCAGTAAAACGTGGGGGAGAGAACCAGATAAAACATTTCATGTGATTCACTAGTCACACTTAACTTTTCCAGTGTACACTTACTGCCATTCTTGTTGGATGGAAAAGACTGACATTTCTTTTTATTGTGAAGATAATCAAAATCAGTATGAACAAAATTAGCTGGTTTGTGATAAAAAGAACAGAGATATTGCGGTTGACAGAGGGTGATTAATTTCATTGTTCAACTGAAGGAGCATGCTGTCCAATCACTGAATGGATCTGATCAGCTGTCCAATCACATGTTAGATCAGATCAGCAGGAAGAAATGCTATCCAATCACATGTTAGATCAGATCAGCTGGATGGACATACTATCCAATCACATGTTAGATCAGATCAGCTGGATGGAAATGCTATCCAATCACATGTTAGATCAGATCAGCTGAATGGACATACTATCTTATCACATGTGAACTGATCATTAGGATAGACATGGATAAATATGGTTTATATATAAGCAGCAGAGCTGTGTCAAAGACTGTCATGTTAACTTTTGTCATGACAGATTTTAAGTGTATCATACTTTCATATAATTTATACTGTTATACCAGTAAGTTTTTATCACACATCGACAAAATCCAATGTAATGTTCATCTCAGAAACTATCTTAAAAGGTTTGATAATCACTAACACATTTGTTGTATTTAACAGGTTTCTTGATGTTGATATGTAATAATTATTTTTATTTTAATTATTTTATATCAGGGAAAGTTTGATAAAAGTATTTAAGCACAGTTTCTCTGTAAAAATAAGTGCTTTTTTTTTAAGTGCTTCTTTGTGTCATTTGAAGAAAGTGTGCCATACAGATTTCATAAATCAGGCTTCTTTTTGTATCAAAAATAAGAGTATGAAAATGAAAGGTTGGGAACCAGTGGGCTTTCAGTGGAAGGAAACCAGTTTATTTTGTTATGCTTGCAGCAATCATTTTCATGTCTTTGCCAAATGTAGGATTTCAGTATTACGTAGCAGTGTCTCATTGTTCTATCATATCCGTCACAGAGAACAAATGAATTTAAATGTATGCAATAAACATGGTTGCCGAATTTTGCTGTCTACATCTTGAAAATGTTGCCATGAAGTCATGAAATTTATCAGCTTCAATTAAAAGATTAAGGACATAGGCAACATATTTTTGAACTTGATTTACTTATTCCCTGTATAATTTAAGAGTTTCTGTAATTGAAGGACATTTGTGTGACTTTTATAATGTCTAATGATGCTGTACATCTCTTCTAAATCAAATTTTTAGGAAATACCAGCTAAAACTATACATTAATGTTTTTTGGATAAAACAAAGATAATATACATGTAATATCTGTTCAAAACAGGCCTCTAAGTGACCTCTAAAATTTAGGCTGGCACCTTATTAAAAAAAATTTAGTCGCCAAATGCAAATTTTTAGTCGCCAGGCAATATTTTTTAGGCGTCTACTTTATAAGTTAATAGTCATCAATATAGGGACCCATGAGGTGACGTGAAATTTTGTTCACACATTCGCTTACTAAAAAAACAAAAAGGTGACTAAGAAAACACAACATGTCCATTGCAAAAAATAATTTCCTCATCTTTAAAATTTCTTTTCGCTTCTTCAGAAAAACAAAAATTGTTTAAAATGTTAAAAGTTCTGGAATTCAACAATCGCCAAGTCAATATAAGATGGTTGCCAATTTGGCGACTTGTGGAAAAAATTTAGGCGCCAATCAAAACTTTTAAGCACCATGGCAACTAAATTAGTCGCCAGTTAGAGCCCTGCAAAACCCCCGGTAATGCATACTGATTTTTTTTTTGTATATGAATATTTAAGGGAACTATGATTTTAAATCAAGAATATCTTTAGAAATTATCAGTGGGAAAGGTATGTTGGGTAGGTACGTGAACATGTATGTTGCATATGACCTTAAAATTGTATCAATATCCACGATTGTCCTAGTGTTCATTTGTAAAAATGACAAGTTGAGAAACATAAGTCATTTTTAGCGGGCATTTTTGCTTTCTATGCTTAAGCAATTATTTTTATTAAGCCCCCTTGATCGGAGATTTGGGGGTATATAGTTTCTGGCCTACAATCTGTTTGTCTGTCTGCAAAAACTTCAACCTTGCCCATAACTTTTGAACTGTTTTTGCTATAGCCTTTGTATTTTACATGTGTATTCCTTGTGACAAGACCTTTGTTTGAGTACAAAATATTTGACCTATTGACTTTGCCTTGGAGTTTGACCTACTTTTGCAAAAACTTTACATTACTTAAACCTTGGCCATGACTTTTGCATGGCTGCTGCTAGGGCTTCCATATTTCACATGTATACTCCTTATGACAATACCTTTCTTTAGGTACCAACATTTTTGACCTCATGCTGTTGAACTTTAAGTTTTGAATGGTTTGTGCTATGGCTTACATATTTCACACATATATTCTTTGTGACAAGATATTTCTTTGGGTTCTAACATTTTTGACCTCATGATCTTGACGTTAGAGTTTGACCTACTTTTGACAAACTTTAACCTTGATCATAACTCCTGAAAAGAAGAAGTTAAGGCTTTTATATTTTACATGTGCACTCCTTGTGACAAGACCTTTCTTTGGATACCAACATTTTTTGACCTTTTGACCTTGGAGTTTAACCTATATTTGAAAAACATTAATCTTAGCCATATCTTCTGAATCATTGGTGCTAGTGTATTTATGTTTCACAGTGTATTCTTTGTAACAAGACCTTTCTTTGGGTACCAACATTTTGACCTCATACCTTGACCTCAGAATTAAACTTACATTTGAAAAAGTTTAACCTTGGACATAGCTGCCTAAGCCTGCCTATGGGGGGCATCAGTGTTTCACAAACATATCTTGTTCTACTTTGAATTACACTCAAATAGAAAAAGACTTTTATACTAATGCAGATTTTGATCTAAAGTTCATTGTCATTCCTTCTTAATTTCATTGTCATTTCTCAGAATAAATGTGTCAGGGTCCCATATGCATTATTTCTAAATTTAAATTGACAATTTTCTTCAATATTAATGAGCCTGAAAAAAAAGTTAATATACTGATCAAACTAAAAGTGGATTTTAAGTGAAGCATAATATCTGTGTGCCTCTTCATCCTTACAAGCAATGTAAGTCAGCCCTCCTAGTGAGTCAGATCGAATCCTAACTATATAATCAGTCTAGCTTGTTGTAGGACCTTCCTATTGAATACAAGTACTGTATTCATACTTAGAAGAGACTTCTTAAAGTCTGTTATGTCTATATTGAAGAAAACTTTTTTTTTCAAAAATTTTAAACAAACTTTTTTCATAAAATGTTATGCAGAATATGACTGTAATTTTAAGAAATAGTGATAAGTTTGTTTTTAGATGTTGACAGCTACAAAACAAGCTAACTGTCATTATTATTTCATTATTCTGTAGGTTGTGTAACAATGCATTATACCGCTGAGATTATGCTTGTTTAATGATCTGTAACTCCCCTGTCAATGTGTTTGTATGTGTCCCTAATACTGATACAGAACAAAGGCTTTGTCCATCATGTTCCATAATTATTCATCACAGTTCAGTTTTGTTTTCTTGTCTTTCCCAGTGAGGTGGTCAACATAATCAAGAAAAGTCAAATGTCAAAATATGTAGAATGTCACCTATGTGAAGCTTACAAGAAGCACTGGTGGACATTCTAGGAATTAAATCTAAAGTATTGACACCCTCATTTTGTAAATCTTTACACATTTAGTTTTGCTGCAGAAAGTTGTTATTATCTTAGCATGTTTATGCACATTATAATTTCACTATATGTAGCAATATAGTTATTTACTCTCACTAAAAATGATTCACACGATTTCAGTGACAAATCTGTTTTGTGTATGTTGATTTATAGTTTTTTACAGGTTTGGGCATTATTTAGAGGTATAATGTATTATTTTTATTTACTATGCAGGGTATTTTCACAAATGAATAAATCATTAACTTCTCACCATTTCACCAAAGTGTATGAAGAGAAGGATCTATCAAGTATTTTTCTTTTCCATGACAGCAAAGAAATTTTAAGAAGGCCTGACTTTGCTCAAGAGCATATCAAAACTATTTCTAAATAAGCAAATTACTGTACTAGATATAGGTACTAATTTATTCAAAGGTAGTTCCTTTAGCAAATTACTCTACAAGTTATAGGTACTGACTTCATTCAAGGTAGTTCCTTTAATGTTTTTTTTGTTGTTAAAATAGGGTGTAAAGACAATCCATTTGATTTATGAAATATCAGATTTAGAGTGAGATTTAAGAATATATAATTAGTTGATATATAATCCACCACTATAGCCTCCCATTGGGTAATGAAGATGCTCTCATAGATCACTTAATAGGTATTTTTTATTTCACATAAACACATTTTTGTAGGATGTATTGCCAAAAACATTAGGTGCTGTTGTTTTACTTGCTTGTCAGTTGTTGATTAGTACATTATACAGAGCATTTTAAATATTTTACAGAGTGGATGACATTTGCTTTTCATTATTTTCAAACTTTGATAAATCTTGTTTGAAAATACTTTGTATTGAATTAATTTTATTATTAAAATTAAATTATCATGATACTTTGAAAATTGTACCAATATAAAATAATTCTGTGTAAGATGGGGTTACTAGAATCAACGTTATGGCTCTGACAGAGACAAAGCTAGTCATGCCATTCATTGTTTTCTTTTTTTTGCCTTGACAATTGTGATAAAACGTGCATCGTACATCATTTTTATTATAAGCATACTGGAATCAGTCATTTAAAGTTATCATTGTACAAAGTGACTATCACTAAATAATAAAATGTATCAATGTTTTAGTTGTTTTTTGGTAAATTAGTCTATGCTTGTAAAATTTTAAAATTGGAGTATATGATCAGGTGCGCAGATAAATACAGTCAAACCTCATTATCTCGAACTCAAAGGGACCAAAATTAAACTTCGAGATATTGGAGGATTCAAGATAATGGGGGTAAAAAACATTAAGAAAACATGCTTTACATTTCCAAACTACTTCAACATATCCCCAGGTATTTCGAGAAATCATTGTTTGAGATAACGAAGTTCAACTGTAGGTACCTTAACATACAGTTCCCTTAGAAGTTTTTAAGTTATGAAGAAGAGGATGTCCAGGTTGTGTTGTTTTTATATCCCATTTTGAAGCGGGGGTTATGAGTAAACAAGTTATCCACATTCATTTTGAAAGGGGTTGGGTAAGATGTATATAGGTTACCTGCATCAATTCATACTAACATCAAACCCACTGCTTGGGATTGGATGCCTATCCCTACTGTTGTTCTGAAGAGTTCAGTTGTGATTAATTTTTGGAGTGGGTGGGTCATGGGGAGTATCTAATTAGAAAGAGTAGATTTTCAGCTTGGTCTACTTGCATGCCATTAGTTATATTAACATCAAACCAAACTGTAGGAGGAGTTGCATTTGAAAGTATTTCACGGAAATTTCTATTTTTAGGTCACCTGAGTCACTCAGGTGACCTATTGCTATCTGTTCTCGTCCGTCGGCGTGCGTCGTGTGTTAACATTTGAACATTTTTAGCTTCTTCTCTGAAACCGCTTAACCAATTTCAACCAAATTTGGCATATAGCATCTATGGGTGAAGGGGAACAAAAATTATGAATTTCATGGTCCCTGCCCCCCTGGGGCCTGAGGGGTGGGGCTAAACCACCAAAAATAATGCAATCTTTAAAAATCTTCTTCTTTACTCCAGGACATCAAGCAGTCAAACTGTTGGCATCATTGTAACAAGCATTGAGCCCTCTACCAAAATTGTGAAATTCATGGCCCCAGGGTCAGGGGTTCTGGCCCCAGGGTGGGGCTATATAGATCATATAGTGAAAGTGCATTATTTCTTTGAAAATCTTCTTCTCTGCTCCTGGGTATTAAATAAAGTAACTTAGTACATAGTTATGAAGAGCAAGAGTGCCTCTTCCAAAATTGTGAAATTCATGACCCCAGGGTCAGGGGTTCTGGTGTTAGGGCGGGGCTCTATTGATTATATAGTGAAAATGCATTAATTCTTTGAAAATCTTGTTCTGTGCTCCTGGGTATTAAGTAAAGTAACTAAGTACATAGTTATGATGAGCAAGAAGTCCTCTTCAGAAATTGTGAAATTCATGGCCCCTGAGTCAGGGGTTCTGGCCCCAGGGTGGGGCTATATAGATCATACAGTGAAAGTGCATTATTTCTTTGAAAATCTTCTTCTCTGCTCCTGGGTATTAAATAAAGTAACTAAGTACATAGTTATGAGGAGCAAGAGTGCCTCTTCCAAAATTGTGAAATTCATGGCCCCAGGGTCAGGGGTTCTGGTGTTAGGGCGGGGCTCTATTGATTATATAGTGAAAATGCATTAATTCTTTGAAAATCTTCTTCTGTGCTCCTGGGTATTAAATAAAGTAACTAAGTACATAGTTATGATGAGCAAGAAGTCCTCTTCAGAAATTGTGAAATTCATGGCCCCAGGGTCAGGGGTTCTGGCCCCAGGGTGGGGCTATATAGATCATATAGTGAAAGTGCATTATTTCTTTGAAAATCTTCTTCTCTGCTCCTGGGTATTAAATAAAGTAACTAAGTACATAGTTATGAAGAGCAAGAGTGCCTCTTCCAAAATTATGAAATTCATGGCCCCAGGGTCAGGGGTTCTGGCCCCAGGGTGGGGCTATATAGATCATATAGTGAAAGTGCATTAATTCTTTGAAAATCTTCTTCTGTGCTCCTGGGTATTAAATAAAGTAACTAAGTACATAGTTATGATGAGCAAGAAGTCCTCTTCAGAAATTGTGAAATTTATGGCCCCTGGGTCAGGGGTTCTGGCCCCAGGGTGGGGCTATATAGATCATATAGTGAAAGTGCATTATTTCTTTGAAAATCTTCTTCTCTGCTCCTGGGTATTAAATAAAGTAACTAAGTACATAGTAACTATGTAGAGCAAGAGTGCCTCTTCCAAAATTGTGAAATTCATGGCCCCAGGGTCAGGGGTTCTGGTGTTAGGGCGGGGCTCTATAGATTATATAGTGAAAAACCATAAATTCTTTGAAAATCTTCTTCTGTGCTCCTGGGTATTAAATAAAGTAACTAAGTACATAGTTATGATGAGCAAAAGTGCCTTTTCAAAAATTTTGAATTTCATGGCCCGAGGGTCAGGGGTTCTGGTGTTAGGGCAGGGCTCTGTTGATTATATAGTGAAAATGCATTGATTCTTTGAAAATCTCCTTCTCTGCTACTGGAGATTATTTAAACAAACTAAGTGCATGGTTCTGATGCATAAGGATGCCTCTTCAAAAATTGTGAATTTCATGGCCCCAGGATCAAGGGTTCTGGTGTTAGGACGAGGCTTTATTGATTATATAGTGAAAATGCATTGATTCTTTGAAAATCTTCTTCTCTGCTACTGGAGATTATTTAAACAAACTAAGTGCATGATTATGATAGGCAAGGATGCCTCTTCCAAATTTTTTAAATATGTGGCTTCAGTTTTTGGGGTTCTTGAGGAAGGGGGGGGGGGCTCTATTGATTATATAGTGAAAAAGCATTAATTCTATTAATTAATCATTAATTAATCCTGTCTGCTCCTTAGCGTTGAGCTGATAAATAAATTGCTTAGCTATGATGAAAATGGGAGCTTCGAACAGAATTTTTAAATCTTGTGGTCCTAGGGTCAGGGGTTCTGGCATAACGAGAGGGGGGGGGGGGGGGCTTTTGATAATATAGTGGAAAAGTGTTAATTCTTCGCAGTCCATAGTTATGATGATGAGGGTAACTCTTCCAAATTTGTAAATTTCTTGACCCTTGGTCTTGGGTTCTGGTGTTAGGGTAAGGCTTTGTTGAATATGTAGTGAAAATGCATTGTACCTGTGAAATTCTTCTCTGCTTCTGGGCATATTGGAAGAAAACTGAGTAAAATTTTAAATGATATAAGTAAGCGTATTTCTACCAGATTTTTGAACATCTGGAACCATTTGTCTAAGCATTCTAGTCCTGGGCAGGGCTCTATTAATTTGTATTCTACTGAGAGAAGTTATTCCCCTTTTCCGTTCACTTTTGATAATTAATCACTGTAAATAATGTATTTGAAAGGTAAATAGAATAAGATAATTATGCAAGAATGTTTATCATATAATTCAGAAAGTATTTTCTTAGATTTAATAATCAGGTAGACCTGTAAGTAATAGATAAATAAAAATGAGACAAAAATAACTTATCTTATTAAAAGTTCTTCAAAGACCATAAGAGAGGTCAATGCTAGAGGTCTTAATATGGGTTTAAAAATAGTACAGAAGCAATAATAGTTTGTTAATAGTCTGCATGGTGATTGTGTTAAGTGGGGGCAGATTAGAACTCAAGTTATGAGTTGATACTGAATACTAGACTAATTATTTTTTTGATCCTGATCTTCCTACTTCTCTTGCTTTAGGGCAAAAAAGCTTCATCTCTCAGTGTATCTAAATTGTTGTATTATACTCAGGTGACCGTTAAGGCCCTTGGACCTCTTGTTATTAACCATGGCAACACTTCAACAAAATCAAAAACTGATAAACAGAATTATGTATATCAGTGTAATCTAGTTGTGTGCCAAAGAATATTGAAATCGGACTAAAACTGTAGGAGGAGAAGTGTTTTAAATGTATTTCACAGAAATATATATTTTTAGTAACCATGGCAACGCCGTTCATCGAAGTTAAAACCGATATCTTGGTGTAGTCTACTTGTGTGCTAAGTAACATGAGTTACATTGCAATCAGACCAAAACTGTAGGAGGAGTAGCATTTTGAAAAAAAATGTTTACAGACAGACAAATGGACAAACAGCGAGACGGACGGACGATGGACACCTTGCATAAGCTCTTCTGGGGCCCGTTTTACAAAAGAACTTACGATTAAGACCAAAAACTTAAGTTGACTATAAAATTTTGCAAATTAAATGATTCTGTTTAAATTGCTAGCGTACAAATATCTTACTACATTCCTTTTAAAAAGATTAAAACCATTTTCAATATAGAAATTAAAAAGTTATAAGCAGAATTAAATTTTGGTCTTGGTCGTAAGTTCTTTCGTAAAACAGGCCCATGTTCTCTGACCAGTAGAGCTTAAAACAAAATGCAACAATCGTTCTGTCTAAAACATGTTTTAAGACAAGTCAAAGTGAAAGTACAGCTCGTGTTTAGAGTGATCTCCCCTTAGTTCTCTATCGTGCCGCTGAAAACAGACGGTGTCTGTAGTTTATGTACATATTACTTCCTGAAATCTGTTTCCACCTACTTCCCTTGATGTGTGTGATGTTGTGATAGTAAAAAATGAAATTCAAAGAGTTAAATATAGGATTGACCGACAGATAATTGGTAAGTAATATTTAAAGAAACATTTTCATGTGCCATAGTGTATAGTATGTTGATTTTGGTGGGGCAGTTTTATCTGGAGGCAAACCACTTCCTTGTTGCTCTATGGGACTTACCCAGGTATCACACTGAAATATGGCCGGTAAAACCAATACACGAATCTTGTTAGATGATTTTACTCTTATGTTTATTGTTGTTGGGATGTTATTGTGTGCAGCTTTCATTTAGTGGACTCATAACTTACATTTACATGGGAAATTGGCTTTGCGTAAATAACGGTCAACCTTGCGTGTTGATTGTATCGTTTTCCCAGTATTGGGATTCAATGTCAATTTGGACCGATATGATAATGTTGTTCATATCATAACTGGATATTCTAGACAACTGGTTTATTTTTACAGTTGAAATCATAAATGTGTAATTCAAACTGTCACTCCAAATTGAACAAAAGGTACATCAAATGGAATTAATTTCACTAGCATCATATTAGCCCTTTCACGATAAGTGCGGTACTACTCTTTTGCAGAACAAATTAATAACATTTGGCGAAGTTTTTGTTGACAGATAATTAAATGACGTATATAAAACAATCGCTTTTACGTCATATTTCACCAAAATATATCATTTTGCCCTGCAAAAGAGCAGTACCACAGTTATCGTGAAACAGTCTATTGCCAACCCCCCCTAACTCCGTCATTACTCTAACTCCATCACTTTCGGGAAATGCCGTGCTGTTTGAAAACGAATGTGATTGTGACATCATTATTTACATGCTGAAAGTCTACAATCAAATGCAATGATACTATAACCATGATAACAGTCAACTTCAAGAATGTGTGAAAAACAAATATTAATTACACTTAATTTATTGTATCTACCATATTTAATGTGAAATCAGTAAGCACTTTTTTTTCATGCGCTGTTCTATTGATATCCCCAATATGTGCATAAACATGCTCATTTTCACATGTCAGCTATTTTTGTGAAGGTCTATTTCAAAGGGTTAATTGACATATCATGTTGAATATGGCTAAAAATATTTTATTTTTTATCTACAATTGCCTTCATGCACTACACATTGAGATAACGTTAGTGAGATATTATTACATATAAAATACATTTTATTAACATTATTTGTTTCTAATGTTGATGCCTTTCTTGTAATACAATTTAATACTATATTAAATCTTAAAAACAATTCTTTATGATTACAAATTTAAGAAAAAGGTACAAAAACTTAAGTGGGGGGAAAATTGTCTTTAATACTTCGGCTTACTGTAGAAGGCCCTGGTGACGGAGTTAGGGTTCATTGGACTTAATGTACAAGGATGTGATACATGTTCTATTTAGTGGTGTTGTATAAGCCCAATAAGCACTTTTTTGTTAATATCACTGAAAACAATGTTTAAGTTCATTACTAAGTGAAGCAAACAAGAAACAAATCAAAAATAATTCAGAGAGTAACGCAGGGTATTTTCCGCTTATGGTGATGGAGTTTGGGTACTCGGGAATATATATTTTTTTCGTTGTTGAAAGTATACTTCTTTTTATGCATTTTCATTATAATGATATCCCTGTTCTTGAACTTTTTATAACCATTATTATCCATGCTTGTATTATTTACATCATTATCATGATTATTCAAAACATATACATCTTGTGAGCAAACACTTGTGATTTAAAAATGGATATATGCAAGTTGGCATTGAAAAGAATACTGTCCCAAGTCACAGCGTTCAGGGTAGATTGAGGCCTCAATGGGGAATCAGAGATTGAGATAGAAATAAGTAGGTAAAAAAATCTTTAAAAAATCTCATCTGAGTATAAATTGTGGCCACACAAGGAACAAATTATAAATCTTCACCTAGAATCAAGAGAGGCACAGTCATGGACTCAAGTGTGGTTAAGTCAAGGGGCACAGTCATTGAGTATAGTTTGGTTAAGTCAAGGGGCACAGTCATGGACTCAAGTTTGATTAAGTTAAGGCCCATGGACCTCTTTTACTTGATTTTGCATTGAGATGATTTGTAAGGTAAATCAGGTTATGCACATTGTATTTAGAAATTCAATATTGAACACAAGTATTTCCTATTTCTACATATAAATTCACCAGTCTGAGAATACATTCAGAGACACTTACAATTCCAGATTTCATGGTAGATGATCATTTGTCATCTTTTTGATAACACAATCTTCACGTCATTCAGTACCCATTGTGTTTATATAAAATAGAAATTTTGGGTCATGTTTAAAATGACTTGAGACTTATCTCTGCCTGAGTGAAGTGTTCGGTACCAAGTACCTGATATCCGGACATCAAACATGTAGGAACAGGGAAGAATTATTTTTTTCCTTCACTTATCGTGCATATACATACTAGATATTTCTGTGAGCGCATATTTAATTTTAACTTTTCACTAAATATGCCTTAATTATAACTTATCAGCAACATCAGATAGTCAAAACACAGCTGTAGTAATTGAAGTGTGTTTGTTTTTATATTATTTTTGAAGATACAGAGGTATATTATAAGAATGGCAAGTCACAAAGCACTACAGAATTGCATCAATATCAGTTTTAGTTGTAGACAAAGGTATAATTAGCCTATCTACAAAAATTGGTGAAATGATTAGGCAAATTGTTTAGCCATTGAATATGTTATAATTACACTATAGATATTAATTGGCTATCGGTAAATACACTCACAGTTTTTCATTCACAAGGGGCGGAGCCCCGAGTGAATAAAAACTGTGAGTGTATTTACCGATAGCCAATTAATATCTATTGTGTAAGTTACTTGTACCAGAGGACCAATGAGAGAAAGGCAAGTTGATAATTAGCACCGCCTACTACATGGTGTCAAGCCACGGTCCGGAGTCTGTAGTATAAATAGCTGTCTCCATCTGCAAGGATCATATTTTGCTATGGCGCTGCTGCTGCAAATCACTGATAAAAAAAATTCGGAATGGGTGCATGTGATGATGTACTTTCGAAATGTTGAAGACACAGAAGACATGATTTTTTGGTCAGGTACAGGGATAAGGATTGTAAACTACATGTTTTATACTGATGCCGTCAACTCTGAAAGAAAATTCATCTTTTGAGATCGTTATTTTTAAAGGGGGGGGGGGCTGTCAGTGGAAAACATCGCCGTTGAAATTTTCTAATATGGCAATCAACGTTTAGAAACAGGGACATAATTATATACTGTCTGGTATAAAGGTCCCTGATAGACACTATGAAATGATTTCTGACATTTTAATGAAAGATTGAAATGCTTCATGAAAAAAAAAAACGCAGGGACTTCTGATGTTAAATTGCTATATGTACTTGGAGAAAGAATATAGAAAGATGAGAATTCGAGATAGAACGTATCATTTACTGAATAAGGAAACGCATAGAAAAAATACGGAAAATTAAATTACGAGGCGAATTTTGGAAATTTAATGTTAGTATTTTTTTAAATTAAAAATGTTGTCTTCATTCATTCATCAGCCATTGCCGAGGTCTGGAATTAACATCATTCATTCATCAGTCAAGGTCTTGTTACAGTATGGCTTGATGCCAAAAAGTGGGCGTGACTTAAAAAACTGTGATTCTTCTGGCAAATACACCACAGCAACATCAAAGCAAAATCTGAATTTACCGCCAGTCCTATGGTACAAAAATCTTATAGTCTGTGATTGTATAACTGTGGACATGATATGGACAGGAAGTACATGACTTGATAGAAGTGTGAATCAGATGGGAGGATGTGTGTACAAAGCTACAACATAGTAAAGTATTTTACTGAAAATGAAGAAATAAAGTACTAATCTATTTCCCTAAAGTAAAAGTACTTGTAACTTGCATGCAATTTAGAAAACTTACAATTGAAACTGTTAACAGCAGGATTTAGGAGGCGAATAATGAAGCAGGTTTCTGAAGTGGTTGATTCTCGCTTCCTCTGTTCTTATTGGTGACACATGCTCAGATAGATCTAGCTCATAAACTCTGTAAAGTATTTAGCATAGAAAATATATTCTATTACCGGTAAGTAAGACAGTAATAAGTGAAGTACACAGCCTGTAGTTTGTGACTCTCTGTGAACCAGGAAGACAGAGAAGACAGTTTAAATAGTTTTGTATGTGTCGGATAATACCACTTTAATCACATCCCCTCCGACACAAAATCAGAAACTCTTACAAGTAGTTCCATCAAGATATGACAGCGAGACTTCATTCTGAAACAGGAAAAAACACACAAGGTTGTGCTGTGATAGGTTGAAGATATAGATACTTGTTAGTGCTTAGCTTTCTATATGTCATATTCCTGGATGTATTCAGATTCAATTTCTACAACCACTTTTTTGAAAGTAATGTCTTCACTTACTAGTATAGAATTAAGTGATTTCCATATTATTTATTAAAAAGAGGATTTAACAATAATGTTAACAGTTGTTCTTTGTTCACATTCTGTACTGTGGGTACAGAGAGTCATCAAACCATGTGTAATGTTGAAATATGTAAACAATGTCTGTGGTTGATGTAGTGTTCGGTAAGTTATAACAGCAGTTAATTATTACTATATTTATAGTAGTAACAACAAGTAAGAAAATGTTGGAAATTTATACATAGGAATTTTTATGTTATATTTACAATAGCTATCTTTTGCTTAAATTTCCACTATGCTCCATTTTCTTCATGCATTCACTATATATTTTATTCAGAATGAACAATAATTATTTTTATATCAATGAAACAACCCCCATGTTTATTTTTTGTTACTTCTTCATGATACTTACAACCTGTGTAAATATCCAATTGTTTTACAATAATACATCTTAACTTAGTTACGTAATGCATTCTAATTTTCTTCATTTCTTTTTATAGAAGACAGATGGACACACAGTCAAATTCAGCATCATAAATTCCTGTGTAAGATTAAAACTGCATGTAATGTGAAACAAGTATAAAGAATATAAACTGTGTTAATTAAATATGGGAGCTTGTTGTGCTAAGAACGAACAGCCAACTGATACAAAACTAACTGACATAAACGACGCTGGTGAAACAGGCTCAAAAACGGGGAATTCAACAGGAAAGAAGAAGGAGCGCTACACAAAGGACCCCACAACTTTATCCTTAGTAGTTGAACCTCCACCCACACAAGCAGCCACAGGTGAGTGATTTTGCTTTCTTTCCATTCATCTCCACAGCTACTTGTGAGTGTCTTCAGTCCTCTCACCCACCTCAATAGCTACATGTGAGTGTCTACCAGTCCTCTCATCCACCTCAATAGATACATGTGAGTGTTTACCACTCCTCCCACCCACCTCAGTAGCTACATGTGAGTGTCTACCAGTCCTCTCACCCACCTCAATAGCTACCTGTGAGAGTCTACCACTCCTTCCACCCACCTCAATAGCTACATGTGAGTGTCTACTGACCTCCCACCCACCTCATTAGCTACATGTGAGTGTCGACAAGTCCTCCCATCCACCTCAATAGCTACATGTGAGTGTCTACCAGTCCTCCCACCCACCTCAATAGATACATGTGAGTGTCTACCAGTCCTCCCACCCACCCCAACAGCTACATGTGAGTGTCTACCACTCCTCCCACCCACCTCAATAGCTACAGGTGAGTGTCTACCAGTCATCTTATCAACCCAACTGTTAAGTGTGTATCTGAACTCTCACCCATCCATCAAAACAGATGTTTCTTTAGCTAAATACTATGCCTCTGATGAATTTTTAGCAGTCCCAAACTCCTCCATGTGAATTATTTCAGATGAATCTATAATTTCATGCATTCCTGCTGATTTGTGTCCATAGCTATCCCCCTGCCACTTCATCACTTGCCTGTCCTTAGCCTTCCCCATCTATTGGCCTCAACTAGTGAATGGTTTTTAAGTGTTTTCCAAACACATGCCAAAAGGCAAATGCCTTAGGCTTCCTCCAAACCAATCCCAACTGTTAAATGTTTTTAGCTTCTTCTAAACCCATCTCAACAGGCAATTGTTTTAAGCTCCAAACCTATATCTCAACAAGTGTATGTGTTAAGTTTCCTCCAAACTTATGTCTCAACAGGTGAATGTTAAGCTTCCTCCAAACCTGTATCTCAACAGGTGAATGTGTTAAGTTTCCTCCAAACCAATATCTCAACAGGTGAATGTGTTAAGTTTCCTCCAAACCAATATCTCAACAGGTGAATGTGTTAAGTTTCCTCCAAACTTATATCTCAACAGGTGAATGTTAAGCTTCCTCCAAACCTGTATCTCAACAGGTGAATGTGTTAAGTTTCCTCCAAATTATATCTCAACAGGTGAATGTGTTAAGCTTCCTCTAAACCTCTCAACAGGTGAATGTGTTAAGTTTCCTCCAAACTTGTATCTCAACAGGCGAATGTGTTAAGCTTCCTCCAAACCTCTCAACAGGTGAATGTGTTAAGTTTCCTCCAAACTTATATCTCAACAGGTGAATGTGTTAAGTTTCCTCCAAATCAATATCTCAACAGGTGAAAGGTGAATGTGTTAAGTTTCCTCCAAACTTATATCTCAACAGGTGAATGTTAAGTTTCCTCCAAACCTGTATCTCAACAGGCGAATGTGTTAAGTTTCCTCCAAATCAATATCTCAACAGGTGAAAGGTGAATGTGTTAAGTTTCCTCCAAACCTATATCTCAAAAGGTTTCCTCTAAACCCATCCATACATATAAATTAAATGGGGGTTATGTAGATAACAGTGTACATGTACTAGATTTTATCTTGTCAGATATATATATATATATATATATATATATATATATATATATATATATATATATATATATATATATATATATATATATATTATATTATATATATATATATATATATATATATCTATGTGTGATCTTTTGATATTGATTACATGTCCAATGTGTACAAACATGTAAAAACAACTTAGGGGGTAACTCTATGTACATTCTTAATCCCAGATAGGCCACATTAACAGGATTTGGTTCCTACATATTTTTTATCCATTTATGAGGCCTATATTTGAGATAAGTTATGATGCCCCCCTACAGATTTGCTAGATGGCAACAATCATATAGATATATATAATCAGGTAAACAAAGGTTCCTGTTTACTGTGAAGCCTGTCTAATCCAGGTGTTGTGTATTCCAAAATCTTGTTCAATACAATGTAAACTATAAATCCATTTTAGTAAATTCAATTGTTAAAAATGTTGTCTTATCTGGAAATTTGTCTAATCTGGACATTTTCTATGGAACTAGTGAACACCACTGAATAGACAAATAGACACCATGGAATAGACAATTAAGTTTTATCTCAATACAATCCAGAATATGGTTTATGGCCTAGTTGAAAGTATGCCAAGAAAACTTGCAGTAGACACATTTCTGTAGAGTTGTAAAAACTGTTTAAGATTTGCTTTTCAGTATTTTACTATTTCTAGAAACATGATTCAGGATATACCCTTAAGCTACCTGCACCTGTGTCTTAATTCATTTATTTATAAGATGCACTGTATATAGCTGACCCAAATGAACTAAGGTGATATTTAGCTTAAAATGAAGTATATTTACAAAAGTAGAAAACAATGGTTTAATCAATATAATAATGGGGAAAGAAAGGATTGTGCAAACACAAGCACTTGAATAAATTAAAATGTCTGTTTGAATTATACACCTGTAAGAACAATTAATTGATGTTTATGTGTATTAAAGAAAAAAGTTGAATTAATAAATCAAGGTAGTTGATCCTTTCTTGTAAGTCTTCTCCTGGTTGCTGGTATTTTTCCACTGAAGTTTTGAAGTAACTGTGTATGAGACAATAATGGAGTTTTATATTGTATTGTAGCTTACAAATCTTCTCTGCGAGCCCTTTATGACTACGATGCCAGAGCTGATGATGATCTGAGCTTCAAAAAGGGAGACCTTTTATATCTCCTGGATGACAGGTAGGGTAATTAACAAGCAATGTTACAAACTAACAAAAGGAAAATATATCACCTGTAAGCCATCAATAGAATAATAATATCTAAAGCACAGTTTCTTCCATACATTTTTATGGTAATATGTAACTTAACAAACACACTCAAACAGTCAAACTCAACATTTTCCACAGAAAACAGCAAGGGCATCGCAGCAGGAGGGCATCAGCCACCACCCCAATAATTTTGCAAATTAAAAAAAATGAAAATTGTTTACACAGATGCAAAATAGGGTAGGCATTAAATAATTATAAGAAAGTATTATGATGTTTGACTCTTAAAATAAGTAATCCGTGAAAATTTAAAACAATTTTTTTTTCGTCATATTTCTTCATTTCAATTACAACAATGTAAGAAATATGCACATTTCAAATTTTCTAAGTGAACTCTCAACAATAAAAACACTGCATCATTTCACCCCTCAATATTATTATGAGGAGGTATTCAGGGTAGTCCCCTAGTTTCTGGAAGGGAGGGGGTTGTAGGGAAGGGTATAAGAAGGGTACCCCCTCTGTAAGCCAGATTTTTAATAATGTAAATAAATACTTCTTTGGTGGGTGCTGGTTCATTTTCAAAAATATTTTTTTTAAACCTTAAGGACAGATGATACATACAAAAAAATGATGCCTGGATTGGTATATATTTTTGAATGCATTTTGGTCGTAAATGATACAAATGATAAATTTCTAAATTATAGTAAGAAATTGTAAACTTTCTATGATGATTTATTTATATTTTTGTTTTTTTTAGGGGGGGGGGGGTTGATTGCATCTCCCCCTTTCAAGTGCTTTGGTAACTTTAGTTCAAAATATTTAAAAAAATTTAAATTGGATAAGAATACCTTTAAAAAAAAAAAATAGAAAAAACTTTCTTTATTTCTATCAGATCTATTAGGTTGATGACAGAAAGAAATAAATACCAAGATGCTGAGGAAAATCTGAATTTTAAGTTTAATCAGGTCCAAACCATCTCTTCCCTTTTTCTTCCCTTTCCGTATCACTTTGCCCCCTCCCCCCCCCCCACCCCCCCCCCCCAAGTTAAATACCTTCTAATGCTCCTGAACAGAGATCTATACTAAATAGGTGTTGATACTTACATGGAAGCGATAGATAATAAAATATAAACCTGATGGCCTGAACGTTTTCTCTCAACAAGCTTCCCAAGTCTTACAACAGAGAGTTTATCATACTGGGTTCATATATGTATCTCTTCTAAATTATTAAAAGAAAAGGACCTAAAAAGACCATTAATACACACACACACACACTCTTGTATTACTATGTCCTCAAACAAACAAATCAGTTATAGCAAAGAAAGGTTTGTGACAGATATGTTTAATGCACCTCTGTGTGGTATTTGTGACACAGTTCATGTAAGATAAACTGATAAGGGCCGTGTTAAGATAAGCCCAGGTAGATGTCACACTGCGTCAGTCTATTTACCGGCCATGTATCCTTATTTCACTTCCTCCTCCGAGCACGTCATCAAGGGATGATTAGTCTTACTCTACTTATAACATGATAAATTTGACATAAGTATGTAAAACAAGGCATTTAAAACATTGGAAAATCAATGTTTACAGAGAGGAAAAACCCATTTATTTCTGTTTCGAAAGAAAAAGTAGTAGGCAAAAGTGAGAGTTTTAGATAATCCTACTGAAATTTTTGTTACTATTAAAATCTGAGACAATTTAACTGTTCCTCTAAAGTCATTGTAATTTCCTATTGATAGATTCAGCCCCCCCCCCCCCTTTTCTTTTATTACCTACCACTGATAATAAACATTTTATTTTTGTTTGGTAGATGTTAGTTTTGCTGTAACATGGACACTAGTGAGTTATCATTGATATCTTTATTATTTTTTTCTTCATTACTTTATTTTAGTTCAGAGAAAGAGTAAGACATCTACATGTACTACAATTCACATAGAGAGCACATGACCTTCACTAAACTGACCTTTAGTCTTCAATCTGACATCTAAACCCAGTGTAAACCAAATCAAAAAGGAATACTACCCACTCACGTGCTTATACATGACATCCTTATCTCTCTTTGTTTTTCATTTAAATATCATTTTAAATTCTATAATATTATATAATAAAGGGGAACACCCTCCCTCCTCCCAAAAAATGCACCAACATTAACTGAATCTATCCAAGAACAACCCCTATAGCACACTTGTTCCCAAATTTCCTTGAGATCTGTTTGTGTCCCTTTGAATTCTTTGATACAACTGTAAAAGAAAGCATTAGCTTTATAAGTAGAGTAGAAGAAAATCAATAGTTATTGTGAAAGGTATACTTAATCAAGTTAGTTTCTTATCTCTTCTAAAATTCTTTCCTGTACAAATGGCAGTTTGAAAGCTGGCATTAGATGTAAAATAAAAGTTACTGTAGTTTAAGATAATTTGGTGTAGCCACTGCTGTAGACACTTCAGAATAACTGCTAGCTTAGGGTTCATGTTCTTGACTAAGAGCGAAGGATCTTGTATCAGTTTTTAATTCAATTACAAAATTGTGACAAAAATTATGGATAAGGAAGATTTCAATATCCTCCTTAAATGGTGGAATATTTCAGTCAAAAACACTAAACAAAACAACCAAACAAACCAACCAAACAAAAGCATAAACAAAAAAAAAATTAAGGTGCACTTCTTCACCCTTATAAAGTAGGAATGTTTAGTTATTTAAATCAGTGTAGGTCTTCAAGACACAGAAACCTCCTAAATTTTCTTTATGAAAAAGAAACACTGCATCAGAATTTTTTGCCTTAATTATCCTGATTATGTTTTGTGTAGGTTGTATAGATCCAGGATCTCTTAGTTCTTTTAAACGTAGTAATTGTAGGAGGATCGGAGCTGTAGTTCCAATTTTCCACACTGCTTATCATTCCTTGTGTAAAACATTTTGTGTTTTATAGTGTTAATATAAAATGATTTTGTTTTATTGCTTTTCAGTTATGGGTATGAGGAATAATGGTGTATATTACTCATCATTTAATCATTATAAGTTAATTACACATGATTAGGATGATTTTGATGGTATTTCAAGAAAATATTTCCTGATAATTAAATTGATATGTTAACATGTGTATTGTACAATATAATCATCAATATTAGATTGTAAAATTGTAATGGAGATTGTATGAATTCTCTAATAACTATGTTTGAAATATCCCTGAATACTTTGTTCTTATTAGTACTCACAAAATCATATTCTTGGGGTAAGAATCCAGTCTTTAGTTTTACACACATGGGATCCTGTATACCTGTCTTCTACAGATGAAATCTTATGTTGTCTAAGCGGTCTTGATTGGTCTCTGGTTTTCACAGAGATACTAGATCAGTAAATCTGTGTAATGAGCATGCTAGTAGAGATTTCATTGTCAGTATAAATCTAATTCATTCCCAATATATGTACCCTGAACAGATTCAGATGGCTGCCCTAAGTCTGTTCTATTATAAGTACAGTCACCACATTCTGTCACCACTGACTTATGTTTATAACTACAGATTTCTGTCACCACTTCAAATCTTAGATTTCCAAATAATATCTATTCATATTTGTTACAAAGCATTTATTTGTAAAGTATACTCAAATGTTGATATATGTTAGTTACAAAGAGTGAGATGTTTTACATTTTATTGGAATGGCTTTTATAACATTGAACAAAATATTCAGGATATAATTAAATAACTATTTTTTGGCAATATTTTTGAGAAAGAGTAATAAATGATCAATGATTTCATGGATTTGGTGTATTGATCAGTGATTTCATGGATTTGGTCTATTGATCAGTAATATTATGGATTTGGTCTATTGACTTTTGTTGTTTTTGTTTTTCAGTGACTCTGATTGGTGGTTTGCCAAACATGCCAACCCCAACTACAGTAACACAAAGGCGGAGGGATACGTCCCCAGGAATTATGTGGCCAAGGAGGACTCATTGGAGTCTTACGAGTAAGCTGGTTTAACTTCCTAAGTCCTTCTCAATGAAATAGTCTTCCATGAATTGCTAAGTTTTTTTTTTTCTCTCTAGTCCCTCTTCCTCTAATGACTTCCTAAGTCCTTCTCAATGAGAGCATCTTCCACTAGAGACCTGATAAGTTTTATTTTCCAAGGAAAAAGTGTTCTCCTAAAGACTTCCAAAGTCTTCCTCCTAGTGGATTAGTCTTCCATTGAAGGCCTATTTAGTGTTTTCCCCAAGGAATCATCCTTCCTCTGAAGACACCCAAAGTCTTCTGTCTGAGGAGATGATCTGTCTTCTCTTTCCTCTTCAGACATTCTAAAATCTTCTTCCAGCATGTTATAGAAAACTTCAAATTTTTAAATTATCATTTTGCATCTCTGAAATCATCTTCACTAGCCAAGTGTCCATTTGGTAGGGAGATGAGGAGATACCAATTGGACACTTAGCAAGCGAAGAGGCTGTAAAGTGTATTAAAGCCATTTTCACAATGATAATACAAACCATGTCTGTGTGTTTTCCAGTTGGTTTATGGGGGCTTTATCCAGAAAAGAATCAGAGAGACTGCTGTTGACCCCTGGGAATGAAGTGGGGTGCTTCCTAATAAGAGAAAGTGAAACCAGCCCAGGTTTGTAATCAACAAGCTTGAAATATAACTTGTACAACTGAACAGTTGAAGTTCAGTATCTCGAACATCAACATATATCAGCATTGGAACTCATTTCAACATGGAATGAGTTCCAACCATTTTTCTTATGTATTTTAACCTCAATATTCCAAATCCCCAGTCATCTTGAAGTTTTTTTTCACAGCTCCATCAAGTTTGAGATAACAAGTTTAAACTGCATGTGATTTACCAGCAGTATCGTTTTAAAAAAATTAATAATAAAAAAAATACTGAATCAAATATGTAAAATGCTTTAACTACAACATTGCAACATATTTTATATGCAGATTTTTTTCTTCAGGAAACTATGTGCTCTCTGTAAGAGACTATGAAGAAGCCAAAGGTGACACGGTCAAACATTATAAAATACGCAACATGGACAATAACCGAGGTTATTACATCGCAGCTCGGAGGGTCATGACCTCCCTCCCGGAACTCATCAATCACTACTCAGGTAATTCATTAACTTATTGTCATTATGCCTCCCTCCAATTTAACATCAACTTTCATTGTGATAAGAATGGAGAAATTTGATTCATTCTTATCTCGTTGGGTCATTGTTTAGTTTGTTATTTTGATACATCTTCTGCAGGAAAATAGCAAGCAACATTTTGCGTGTATCCTAATGTTTGTATATACATGTAATTGACAAGGTGTTGTTTTGTACAGGTCAGTCTGATGGGTTGTGCAGGCAGTTGACAAAACCATGTCCTAAATCCAAACCTGTCATCAGTCTGAACAAAGATGCCTGGGAAATCCCGAGAGAATCACTAGAATTCTCTAAAAAGTTGGGGGCAGGACAATTTGGAGAAGTGTGGAGAGGTACTGTTGATGCTAACATTAATTGTTCAGTCAATAATGTTCAGTATGGTTATTTCATAATTATTTGTATTTCAAGGTATACCTTTGTAATATTAAAACAAACATGTTCAGTGGTTCTTATTTATATTCACATCAATCTGATTAAAACCAGATTCTTAATCCACTTGCAAGGATATGAAGAAACCCTGTTACCTGGCTTTTGATTAAATATTCATTAAAATCATCAATCAGAGAGCTCATACTTTATCGACGTTTGGGAACATAAATATTGAAGTTAAAGTAGCCGTAGAATAGATCCTGATGTCTGTACAAATCAGAGTTAAAAGCAGAGCAAGTGCAAATATTAATTGATTTGCTGCAAAGAAAAAAACTGTGTAGCCAATCTGCAGACAGGCTACAGACACACAATAAGAATTCCCCATTCATATTTAATTGGGACGTAAACCTCTGGAACTGAATTTTTCCTAGCGAATGTTTGATTGGATAACTGAAAGGTCACCAGCAGATGACTTGTGATGGGGTTTCTTGAGATTTTTTTGTAGCAATCTATGTAAGCAGATCAATGGATTGATTGTACTCACATAGAAATCCTCATATTAATGTTTCAATCTTAGGCAAATGGAACAAAACAACAGATGTTGCTATCAAGACACTAAAACCAGGAACAATGTCAAAGGATGCTTTTTTGGAGGAGGCTAACATCATGAAACAGTGTAAGCATGATAAGCTTGTGAGACTGTATGCCGTGTGTACGGACCAGGAGCCTATCTACATTGTCACAGAGTTGATGTCCAAAGGCAGTTTACTGGACTATCTCCGTGACGACGATGGCCAGAACCTGAAGTTCCCACAGCTGGTGGATATTGCAGCTCAGGTAGGTGTTACCTGTAGACAAGAAAAGCTTGCCTCTACAGAACTAGAGATAAGAGAACATAAGGTCAGTTACCCACAGCTCAGGTAGGTGTTACCTGTAGGCAAGGAAAGCTAGCCTCTACACAGACTCTACAGAACTAGAGATAAGAGAACGTTAGGTTACTTCTTTAAGCTCACTCTAGTAATCATATCAGAATTAAGATCAAAATGAGTGTCATACACATCATCTGGAAGTCGAGGGGGGGTATTCATAACATGACCATGTTTCATTTTGTTGTTGGCATCATTTAGCATTGTTAGAATTAAACATAAGTTAACTTGTCTTGATAGAACACATAGCAAATAAGAGATTCATAGGTACAATGGACTTAATTAAACAATAAAATGCTTACGCGGGTTATGTATTTTTTCTGCAACAGCTGCGACATTAATTCCCGTACTAACAACCAAAGAAAGCATTTTATTGTTTATATTTATATCTTTAAAAAAAAACATTCAAAGTCAATTAAATATGTGAAATATTGTATTATAGATGTGTATGTCATTGTATGCATAATTGATGGAATAGCTGTTGCTTAAGAAATCTATGCTGGTTCCTTGCTTAGTGTTGTTTATGGACTGATTAATGGCAATAATTTTTATAAGAAATAAAGGAAATGATATTCAGTGGATGTAAATATATCAGATAATGATGATTCCAATCCATACAGATTGCAAGTGGTATGGCATTTTTGGAGGAGAAGAAACTGATCCACAGAGATTTAGCTGCTAGGAACGTTCTGGTTGGGGACAACAACATTGCAAAGGTGGCAGATTTTGGTCTTGCTCGAGTTATAGAGGATGATGAATACAATCCCAAACATGGTAAAAATAATACACAATCACACATAGGTTGGAAAAATTCAATGTTATCAATTATTTCCTTAAATTTCTAAAATTGTTTCCATTATATTTCATCAAAAATATTATTAGAATTGAACTTTTTAAGATTCAAATAAGGTAATATTTTGTTTAGAAATATAGTGAATGGTCAATGCTATGGTGCTTTGTAATATCTAGGTATACCATGTTCCCTTAGTTTGTGAATGGTATATTTTATATGTACAATATATACATGTTTGTACATGTGTGTGTATATGATATGTAGGTACCAAGTTCCCCATTAAGTGGACAGCTCCAGAAGCTGCTCTGTACGGGAGATTCACCATTAAATCTGACGTCTGGTCATATGGAATTCTTCTGGTAGAAATCGTCACACACGGCCAGGTTCCCTATCCAGGTATGTACAATGTCCTGATGAGACTAAAGACCCAGTTTCTATATCATACAGGCACGATGTTTGTTTTGTGATAATCGATAATGAAATTGTACTGCATTGCTATTGGTTGCTAAAATCTGCTAATAACTTCCTACACAGCTGTTTTTTTTTACTGAATTTGTGATGAATAACTTATGTACTCATAATCTGTAATGTTTGTTTAGAGATAACAATATGATTGACTTTTCTCTCAAACTGTGTGTCCAATATATGCATGCCTATCCATTTTTTATCTGCATGAACAGACTTTTACTAAAGTGCAATGGTTGACTAGATCTCAACAAATGTTATGTAATAGGATATACTATTAGTTAGGAACAATATACAGTCGAACTTTGGTATCTCAAACACGGTTATCTCGAATATCATGGATATGTCAAAGTCATTTTTAAGTCCAAACTTCTTATTCCTTAAGTATTTTACTCTGGATATCTCGATTCCTCGGTTATCTTGAAGTATTTTCTCGATCCCTTCGAGTTCGAAATAACAAGGTTTGACTGTATGGTAACGTTCATCAACAAAAATCCATCAGAAAATGTGCATCATTGAAACCATGAAAATGGGATCAACAGATTTACTGTTTTTAATGTGCTTTCCTTCTAATTTAGATTTATGAATGTGTCAATGACTTGATTTAAGGTAGAACCTATGTCGGAAAAGTCTTTGTCACAAGATTTTCAAACTTTTCAAAATGATAAATTAGCTCTCGCTTATCAATCAGTTAAAAATATATGGTATGTTTCTTCGTTATTAAATGTAGTGCAGTCTGTGCAACTTGGAATGATAATTTTACACTGCGACTACATATTTGCAGCCATTTTTAGGGGTACTGGTTATAAAGAGAATATAATAAATCACTAAAATACTTCTTCAAACATCGTCGTTTATAGGCTTTATTAACTGAACCAAATTTAGCAATATTATTCAAGAATAAATTCTTTTTTATTCAACTGACATAAAAGATTAAGTCCACATTTCAACGAATATAGGCAAATGTGCTCAATATTTTTTGAGTCAATTAACCACCTAAATTTGTAAATATTTTTCTAAAGTCTTTGTCAGAATGTTTTCAATCTTTAATATGATGAAGAACACACCCAAATAATTACAAAAAGAGATTAAAATATATACCTTTCCCCGCAAACGAATGAGAACACTCTATTTATCCATACTTCTTTTGTTGACCTTTTTGCACTTACACAGGATTTAATTATTAAATTACTGTTTTGGGGTTTCGTTCAGATTTACAATGTGAATATTTATCAAAAAAATGTATCTTTTTTTATTTAAAAAGATAATATTTTCTGGAAACATTATTATTATACACCAACCATTATGAATAATTAACAAATAATTATGAAAGGGAATGCACGTCATTTCATGATAGACATTACAAAATTTACACACAATTTTTAACAGATCTTTGACTCAGACACTTTTCATCAAGATATTGTACTATTTAGATTTCTTAGGATTTTTGATTTCCTTCAAAATAGTTGCATGTCATTCACATTATCACAGTTGTGTAACTTCATTACATGAGACATTCTTGAAGAAAGTACGGGAAAAAGTAACATTAAATTAATTATGACGTCATAATGGATCTAGCACCAAAAAAGACAGTCTAAACTAATTTTCTCAGTATGACGTCATACGACGTAGGTTCTACGTTAAGTGAAAGTGGACCTTTTTTAGCTCACCTGAGCTGAAAGCTTTTCTGATCACCTGTTGTCTGTCGTCCGTCTATCTAGCTGTCCGCTTGTCCACCTGTAAACTTTTCACATTTTCATCTTCTTCTCAAGAACCATTGGGCCAATTTTAACCAAAGTTGGCACAAAGCATCCTTGGGTGAAGGGAAATATATATTGCTAATATGAAGGGTCAAGCCCCCTTCCAAGGAGAGATAATCAAGAAAAGACAAAAATAAAAAATAAAAAATCTTCTTCTCAAGAACCACTGGGCCAAAAAAGCTGACACTTACTAAGTATATGGAAGCATCCAGGGGTAGTGTAGATTCTAAATTGTTCAAATCATGGCCCCCAGGGTAGGATGGGGCCACTTTAGGGAATCCAAGTTTTACATTGAAATATGATTGAAAAATCTTTAAAAATCTTCTTCTCATGAACCACTGGGCCAGAAAAGCTGAAAATTATACGGAAGCATCCTGGGATATTGTAGATTCTGAATTGTCCAAATCATGGTCTCCGGGGCTAGGGTAGGGCCACAATAAGGAATTCAAGTTTTACACTGAAATATAATGAAAAAATCTTTAAAATCTTCTTCTCAAGAACCTTAGGACCAGAAAAACTGGAACTTATATGGAAGCTTTCTGAGGTAGGGTAGATTCTAAATTGTTCAAATCATGGCCCCCTGGGGTAGTGTTGAGCCAAAATGAGTATTACAAGGGGAAAATCTGGTGAACAGCAGGGCCATAGTTACTCAGGTGAGCATTGTGGCCCATGGGCCTCTTGTCTTTGTTACTTGTGATACAAAAAACCTTCTTTCTTCTCCATTTTCAAACATAGTGTGCTTTCCTTTTTTAGAGTTAAATAATCCATGATATTAATGCCTGATTGTTTCATAAAAGTACTAAAGATTAACAAGTACTAATACCATGCAATGAAAATTACTAAAATTAATGTTGAAAAATGTGTGAAAATAAAATAAATTTTAGGAAAGAATAACAAATAATTTCATTTATGCTTTTATAAAAGCTTAGAATCTACTAGAAATAATAAACACTAATGAGCATTGGGGTTTACACAGAGAGGAATAAAACCTATATGAATAAGGAGAAATAAATAAATATATAAATAAAGTACAAATAGAGAGAGTACTTTTTTTCAGAGGATAGTGCAATAATTTTTTCTGTTTTTCAGTATATTATATAGATATATATATATAATATATATTTATTGCTAGTGTATATTTATATATGAATGTGCATGAGTCAATAGCATGACCTGCATATGATATACTTTCTCAGGTATGCAGAATCGTGAGGTACTAGAGCAAGTGGAGAGAGGCTATCGCCAGCCCAAACCTGTCAGGTGTCCCGATTCCATGTATGAAATGATGCTCAAGTGCTGGGACAAAAAAGCAGCCAACAGACCAACCTTTGAATACTTATTCAACTTCTTTGATGACTACTTCATATCAACTGAACCCAACTATAAAGACCCAGACGATTAGCTCTGGTTCTAGTACACAGTCATCTGCTCTATCACTGACTGCTTTAATGATTAATCACACTGTTTGTAATATAAAGGGTATACATATACTTCAGGAACTACTTTCATAAGACAAACTGATGTTGTGTACATCTGCTCCCTATATCTAGGTATGGCCAATCGTGAAGTGTTGGAACAGGTGGAGCGAGGATACAGACAGGCCAAACCACCGAATTGTCCCGATTCTATGTATGACATCATGAAGAAATGCTGGGACAAGAAACCAGCCAACAGACCTACGTTTGAATACCTGGCTAGTTTCTTTGACGATTACTTTGTTTCTACAGAACCTAACTACAGGGAAGCTGATGAATAATGCAAAAGTATTCTAATTTTAGAACTTTATACAGATGTCATTGATAAAATGTAAGAGATGGTAAAAAAATTATCGTTAGGTTCAATTACATTTAATTTATCTAGCCTTTGTTCTTCAGATCCACGATTTGAAGTGTATACCCTTTGTGGATATGATTTTTAAGGTCACATTTATTTTTTTTCCTCATACACCCCTATTGTATTTACTCTATTACAACATTGTGATCAAATGAATATTTTTTGACATGTGCTGTTTACAAGGCAAGCCCTCCATCATTAACAGCATAATTTGATATCTGTGATTTTTATGTGAAAACAACGAGCTTCCAGTGTGCCACACACAGTTTGTACCCGTCATTCGTCATCACAACAGTACAAAATGTCTAATTGTTAGTACAGTGAAACTTGTCTAATCTGGATGTTGTGTATTCTGAAATCTTGTCTAATACGATGTAAACTTTAAGTCCCTTTCAGTAAATTCAATTGTTTTAGATGTTTTCTAATCTGGAATGTTGTCTGATCTGGTCAATTTCTATGGAACCAGTGGTATCCGGATTAGACTAGTTTTACTGTATCTTTTTCTGTACATTTATACTACAGTGTATTAAAAAAGTGCCTTGGATTACGATCACTATAAATTGTTAGAGTATTTTTGTATACATTCCGAGAAATCATTGTATGTGCCTTTGTTTGATAACAATTAAGTACTAAGTAACAATTCCTGAAATGATTAGATCTAACCAAAGATAAATTAGTTGTGTTGCATGTCAGCTCCTGAGATGAATTTCACGTACAGATTATAGATGCTTTCATTGTAGCGACCTATGTAGACTTTTGTAACTATACTGTTATATTGATTTTTTTATTTTGTACACTGCTTTATCATGTTTTGTACACAGTCAGCATTCACAGAAGTTAAACTGTTCCACTCTTATCCATTCCAGACACAACTAACTTTGTTATTTTTATTATACATATGTTATCATTGTTTTATTGCTATAGTAATATCTTTAATGCATGGAGTGTGAAAGAAAGAAAGAATGCATGTGTGAATGTATTTATGTATCATATATATATGTATGGTTTTGATGACAAGTTTTTTTTTTACTATACATTTCCCATTTCATTGTTTAATCTGAGATTTTCAATATTGTACCACATATTTCTTTTACTGAAACACATTATATTTATTTAATCTGTGTATTTAGAGATAATAATTTGAAATGCAGGCTAACATACATTTCTATGGATAACAGCCATATAATATTTGTGCCAGTCTGTTAATTAATGTGAGATTAATTTGGGAATTCATTATTGTATCAACATTTTCTTACAATGAATCACAATCTTGTTATATACCTTATATGTGTATAGGAACAAAACCTTCCTTACATTGACCCCCTTTTTTGAGTACATTCTGTGCACTGATTCTTCTGTACATTGAACCCATCCACCCCCACCCCCATCCCCCTCCACTCCCACCCTCCTTTTTGTGTACATTCCATGTACTGATGCTGGTTCTTGTGGTAGGGACAATAGCCATAAAGACAGTAATATGTCTGTACACAAAACATTCTTACATTCCATATTGTATCCTTATAAGCTGTTTTGTTACCAGACCATAATTCTACTTATGTTTAGCTATAGTGCTTGCCAATCTCTGAAAGAGAATTTAGGTCCAAACTTTGTTTTGGGAGTAAAAATAGAAATGACTGAGGTGTATCACGGATCACTTGTCTGTCTAGCTATGTGTCTTTATTTAGACCTATTTTGTCCAGAGATTGTGTCTAGAATTTCTCAATTTTTTTGGTCAAACTTTGTAGAAATATTTATCATTTTAAGATGTGCCTTAATTAAATGTTTGCATAATTATTGATTTGTCAAAGTTTTTTAAATTTTTGTTTTGTTTTGTTTTAAAGATTTCATACTGTATTGACAGCATTTAGAAGTTCAGGCTTTGATTTTCTTATTGATTGATTATTACTTGGCACAACACATGGTCAGGGTCATTTGGACAGGCTTAAGGTTACTGGGTTCATTGTGCTAAATTCTTTAATTACTTAATACAACTGATTTTGTTGTTTTATTAAGTATGTAATATTTTTGACTATTTTTTTCTGCATATTCATTCCTCTGAACTATTCAAGAAACTCCAGAGTGACTGGCGATCTATTGGACCAACAGTGCCCATTTACCCAGTATAATATTAGGTAATAAAATGGTTATTTAATGACTGGTCAGTCAGTAAACCAGAATATATTTCTCCCTCGGTGCTGAGAGCAGCTTAATATGGGCCATTGGCCTCAGGCAGTAGAACACATTGAGCTTTTCCCAGCACCTCAGGAAAAATATTCTGGTCTATGAACTGATCAGACATTGAATAACTGTATACTAGTACCTCAATTTTATAATGGAATAACATTGCAAAATCGTACGTAGCTTGAAGGGTTAGTTTGAAGACGAAAGCACAAGTCATATAACACTGACCCAAGGTTAATTAGAGGACAAGGTCATGGGGCTCTAAGATGTAGAATCCATTATAATGAACACCAGCAGGATTGTCTCTGACCAGCATATAGTTTTTAAGCTGTTTCAATATGCCCTTTGTTGAGTTGCAGTCTGGGATGTAAGGTAGTCCCATTAGGACAGCTCCAGTTTGTCACTAAGGCCATATTTACATCCCCTTCATTCATTTTTTGTTTCTTTTCTATTAGTGCTTTAGTGCTGAGAAGCTTCAGTCCCATTGTTTAATATAAATTATAAGGACTACTTGTTGCACATAAAATTCCCCCTCCCCCCCCCCCCCCCCCCCAAAAAAAAACGTTTCTATTTATCAAATGAATGTCCATTTTCCTTTTCCACATTTTTGTGGGTAATATAAATATTTTCATTGATGGATCCATTTTATGAAAGGGATTGATTATGATTTTGTCCACCGAAACGCAAGCAGAAATTTTCGTAATTAGCGGCTCATTTCAGCTAAGTTTTAAGATCAAAAGTTGATCAATGTACATTTTTCTGCAGTTAGAAAAGCTTTAAAAGACCACTGGCTCTCTTGAGAGATATATTTGATGTGTCATTTTAAATGGTTTTGTATATATATTAAATACAGCTGTATATGTATATTTTTTTAATCAATGAAATAAAATATATGTATTGTATAGTCTCATTTTTATGATATAGATATGACATTTTCATGGCATATTTGTGTTTGTGTGTAGTTTCATTTTGTTGTTGAAATACTTCTCTTATTCATGCACTGTGCTGCTTGATTTAATATGAACAGCAAGGTCTATTAATCTTCAACAAATGAAGCCGTGCCTGTCATATGAATATGGTATACTGTAGATCACCAAATTTTCGCGACAACTTATTTTTGCGAGATAGTATTTGGCATTTACTAATTATAAGCGAGACAAAATTTTCACGAATTCAGGGAATTGTTGTTTAAAATCTATGGAACAAATATATACACGAAAATGAAATTTTCGTAAGCAGACCGGCACATATGTTAATTACAAAATAGTCGTACACACTCATCTGTTAGTACATACAATACCTGTGAACAGTAATTCTCATGTTGGTGCTTACGATCACTGCAGCACTAGTTCACCTGTTCAGTACATACAATACCTGCAGAACTGTAGCTCACATGTTGGATAAATACTAGCTGTGAACTGTCGCTCATATATTGGTGCATATATATTAAGCTGTGAACTGTTGTGCACATGTTGGTTCATATATTAGCTGTGAAATGCAGCTCACTTGATGGTACATGCAATAGCTATGCAGTAGCTGTGGACTGTAGCTCACTTGGTACATGCAATTACTGTGAACTGTAGCTCACATGCTGGTACATGCAATAGAAAGGAACTATAGCTCACATGTATGTAAATAGAAAAGAAACTGATAATTGGTATATATATACAACACCTATTGACTGTAACTCACCTGTAGGTTAAAATACAAATACAGCAGAAATGTAGCTCATCTTTGGTATCTACTATAGTTAAGGACATCTTTGGTATCTACTATAGTTAAGGAACTGTAACTCACATGTTGATACATACAGTAGCTGTCAACTGTAGCTCATATGTTTCAGAATAAAATAATAATGAAACTATGAGAGTATTTGTACGTACAATATCTGCAGAAGTATAGATCACTTGTTTGTACATAAATAATTTGGGAATTGTACCTCATCAGTTGGTACTTACAGTAGCAGTGAAACTGAAGCTCACCTAATAGTACTACATACAACAGCTGTGGTGTGTAGTCCATCTGTTGGTATAATAATATAGTTAAGGAACTGTTAGCTCACCTGTTGGTACATAAAGTAGCTGTACAGCAGCAGCTTACATTCATACAGGCAATTTTTGAAATACTAGCTCACCATTGGCTGCCATACATGGAATAATGAATTGTGAGCATTGGTACATACAATAACTGTGGAACTGTGTCACCTGTTGTAAAATACAATAACTGTGGAACTGGCCTTACATGTCATCCATACCAAAGATTCCAGGCTGGTGAGCTGCAGATCAATTCTTTGTTGAACTCTAATCTTATTGATAGAAAAAGAGGGAATATGCACTGGGTATGGAACATAATCTATGAAAATTATGAATAAACGTTTATTTATGATTGTTGAAGTTAACCTAGGTGCTAGATATCAAGCTCTATTGAAAAGACTCAAAGAATTATAATTGTTGGATTTATATTTGTATTAGCCAAAGTCAACAGGAAATATCCAGTTAAACCTCATTATCTTGAACTCCATTGGACTGAGAAAAAACTTTTTAGATATCCCAGGATTTGAGTTATCCAGTTTAAAATACATAAAGACAAGAGGCCCATGGGCCACATCGCTCACCTGAGAACATTGGCTAAGAGAAAAAGCAAAAATCAGTTCAGTATTTAAGTTTAAGGGGGGGGGGGGGGTTGAATTTTAAACTACCTGATGATGCTTTCATATCAATATAACAAATGGATTTGCTGAGTAGCAGATTTTTTTTCCATACATTCATTTGTAAAAATTTGATCCTCCATTGTGGTCCCACCCTACCCCCAGGGGCCCTGATTTGAACAAACTTGAATCTACACTACCTGAGAATGCTTCCATATAAATATGACCAATCATGGCTTTGCTGATCTTGAGAAGAAGATTTTTAAAGTTTTTTCTATATACTCTTATGAAAAACTTTGATCCCCCATTGTGGCCCCATACTATCCCCGGGGGGGGGGGAGGGGGGGGGGTCTCATGACTTGAACAAACTTGAATCTACACTACCTGAGGATGCTTCCATATAAATATGACCAATCATGGCTTTACTACTCTTAAGAAGATGTTTAAAGATTATAATTTTCCTATATATTTCTATGTCAAACTTTGATCCCCCATTGTGGCCCTACCCAAACCCTGGGGGTCATGATTTGAACAAATTTGAATCTACACTACCTGAGGATGTTTCCACATAAGTTTCATCTTTCCTGGCCCAGTGGTTCTTGAGAGGAAGACTTTTAAATGATGCCATTCTTTTTTCACTAATTCCTAATTATCTCCCCTTGAAAGAGGGCGTGGCCCTTCATTTGAACAAACTTGAATCCCCTTTACCCAAGGATACTTTGTGGCAAGTTTGGTTGAATTTGGCCCAGTGGCTCTTGAGAAGTCGAAAATGCTAATGAGTACTGAAAAAGCTTTGTCAAAATTGCTTGCTTTAAACAGCGATATAAAACGGTAAACAAGAGGCTAATGGGCACCTACAATCAATTGTGTACATGAATAAACTGTTATGTTCAGTCCATGTTTTTATTTTCGTGTACAATGTTTATTAGTCCCCTACTGGTGAAACTGGAGGGGACTATAGGTTTCCTCTGAGTCTGTCTGTCCATCCATCTGTCCCACTTGGTTTTCCACACTTTTTTCCTAAACGCTTGCAGATATTGAGCTGATTTTTGGTA